CAGAAAATGTACACCACAAGATAAGCCTTTATGCAGATGATGTATTACTTTTCCTCCTAAACTCACAAACTTCTCTTTCTGAGATGATCACATTTATAGATAAATTCTCATCCATCTCAGACTACTCCATTAACTGGAGAAAATCCATAGTTTTACTGGTTATGTGTTATTTCCAGAGTATATCTACCACAGCGCTAAAGTCAGGGAATATTAAATATCTGGGTGTCAATATTTCCTCCACGCTGTCAGAACTGACATGGCTAAACTACACGCCTCTACTTAAAAGAGATGACCTGCGATGTACATCACGCCCATATCACTCACGGGAAGACTCTCCACCATAAAAATGATGGTCCTACCTAAAATCAATTACCCGTTTTCAGTGTTAGCCAACCAACCCTCTGCTGTCTGGCTTAAGTCACTGGACTCAAACATCTCTACATTTTTGGGGAAAAATAAATGAATTTTCCCCCACGAATCAGTTTAAAAACTCTGCAAAACCCAAAAGATTGTGGGGGTTTAGGACAGCCAAATCTTTCTCAGTACTTCCTGTCCAATAGACTACAATATATCACTACACAAACGCATGGCTCAGCACAGAAGGGCCAACTCCTCAAGTCAAGACTCTGCAGTCTACTTACATCTGAAGGACAGAGGACACTCGTTTGAGGACCACCAGGTGCACATTTTAGACAGAAGATGAATGGTTTGAAAGTGGTGTCAAGGAAGCCATCTACACCCGGGTTGAGAAGCCGTCGCTGAACAGAGGAGGGGGTCTACGCCACCACTTATCCCCCACTTACAATGCTGTCCTTTCATCACTTCCCAGGAAACTCAACAGTCTTGACCTCTGTTGTCCTAACGACTGTCGTTACAGCAACCAGGAACACTAACGAACCAGCAGTATCGACGATCCTGGCAAACGACCCCACTGAGATTAAATAGCGGAGTTTCCCTGCCAGTCAGTCAGAACTGAAGAAGTCCTTTGGATGAGGGACGAAACGTCTTCCAGTATCTTCAATTAAGTCCAGTTGCCCTTGACTTTAACCTTTGTTGGATAATGGACTTACTTTAGATCTACCTCCAACGACAAAAGACTTTCTTTTGCCCCCAAAACTATTATAAAAAATAAACATGTTACTGTTGAAAACAGATGATTTAATCTCTCTCCCATTCTTAAAGTGGGTGACAGAGCTATCCATTATTCCAGACCAAAACTAAATACTTTCACGCGTTTTTAAACTTGTGCGTAGGTGTGTCCGTCATTCTGTAATTACACCCCCAACGCTAGTCGGCGGTAGTGTTACAGCGTCCACTGTATTGACTTTTGCAGGTCGAGCAGGCTAACTTCTGTAGCCCTCCGCTAATGTGAATGGGGGTAACATACATACACTCACCTAAAGGATTATTAGGAACACCATACTAATACTGTGTTTGAACCCCTTTCGCCTTCAGAACTGCCTTCATTCTACGTGGCATTGATTCAACAAGGTGCTGAAAGCATTCTTTAGAAATGTTGGCCCATATTGATGGATAGCATCTTGCAGTTGATGGAGATTTGTGGGATGCACATCCAGGGCATGAAGCTCCCGTTCCACCACATCCCAAAGATGCTCTATTGGGTTGAGATCTGGTGACTGTGGGGGCCATTTTAGTACAGTGAACTCATTGTCATGTTCAAGAAACCAATTTGAAATGATTCAAGCTTTGTGACATGGTGCGTTATCCTGCTGGAAGTAGCCATCAGAGGATGGGTACATGGTGGCCATAAAGGGATGGACATGGTCAGAAACAATGCTCAGGTAGGCCGCGGCATTTAAACGATGCCCAATTGGCACCTAGGGGCCTAAAGTGTGCCAAGAAAACATCCCCCACACCATTACACCACCACCACCAGCCTGCACAGTGGTAACAAGGCATGATGGATCCATGTTCTCATTCTGTTTACGCCAAATTCTGACTCTACCATCTGAATGTCTCAACAGAAATCGAGACTCATCAGACCAGGCAACATTTTTCCAGTCTTCAACTGTCCAATTTTGGTGAGCTCTTGCAAATTGTAGCCTCTTTTTCCTATTTGTAGTGGATATGAGTGGTACCCGGTGGGGTCTTCTGCTGTTGTAGCCCATCCGCCTCAAGGTTGTGCGTGTTGTGGCTTCACAAATGCTTTGCCGCATACCTCGGTTGTAACGAGTGGTTATTTCAGTCAAAGTTGCTCTTCTATCAGCTTGAATCAGTCGGCCCATTCTCCTCTGACCTCTACCATCAACGAGGCATTTTCACCCACAGGACTGCCGCATACTGGATGTTTTTCCCTTTTCACATCATTCTTTGTAAACACCAGAAATGGTTGTGCGTGAAAATCCCAGTAACTGAGCAGATTGTGAAATACTCAGACCGGCCCGTCTGGCACCAACAGCCATGCCACGCTCAAAATTGCTTAAATCACCTTTCTTTCCCATTCTGACATTCAGTTTGGAGTTCAGGAGATTGTCTTGACCAGGACCACATCCCTAAATGCATTGAAGCAACTGCCATGTGATTGGTTGATTAGATAATTGCATTAATGAGAAATTGAACAGGTGTTCCTAATAATCCTTTAGCTGAGTGTACGTACATAACAGTAGCCTTTTCAAATGTTATCGACCAAGTGGATCACATTCTGACAGTGAAAAGAGTCATTTCGCTCAGGTTGTAACGGTCAAATATATTGATCCACCGTACCTACCAACCAACCAATCACAGTGCTTATGGTCCGATGTCACAGTATACTCACTACAAAAAGACTAGACTACACCACTGCACTTAACCCCTAGGTGCTCCAGAGGCGTGCAACCTCATATAGTAATCAGCAAGTAAGATAAGTGGGTAAATGTTTTTCTTAACAATTTACTTTAATGATTGGAGAGGCTGCTGTCAGACAATTTTAAAGTTTCTATGTGCAGTAATGTCACAACATATTAAACGTGGGACATTTAATAAGCAAAACAAAACATTTCAAATTGTACTAATAAACTTTACAGGACAGACAGAGGAAACTTAAATTTTATGCTTATATAATCCATGTTTAGTCGCTCTGATGGAGATCAGTATTGATCAGGAGGCTGCTTTACTATGGATCTGTTACAGAAAACGGGTTTAGTAAAAAGTAACTAGTGTGTTAAGCTCGAATCGAGGCAAACTCTGGGTTTTCGGTTTCAGAGAGCGAGATCAGATAAACCCTAGATGAGTAACCCGGAAACTTACGTTGTGAACCTAACCTCCTCGGGAGGATCCGGACCCAGCCGCCGTCCTCTCCGGACCGCCGACCTACAGCAGATTTATTATTGAGACTTACTACCTCGTGACGGAGCATTTCTATTTCAACCCGCACAGCTTTTCTAGCATTTAGCGGCCCAGGAAACTCACAGACCAATCGCATGTGCTCCAATCATCTCATGTGACGCTGCTCAGCCAATCAAATCTGTGCATTCCGGTGCTTGCGAGTCGAGTCCGCCAGATTCACGTGGCTTTTAATCAAGAATGTACAGAGTTTTACATGTACGTTCCTCCCACTGGCAGCTCAAAACCAGAATATCTCATAGATCTCCAGTCCAGCTGGCAGGACAAACTAGAGCTCACGTTTCTCACTGAACAAGAGAAAGTAGGAAAGTGGTAGCTCTGTAAGAGGGAATGAAAGAGAAGGAGGCCTTACAGCTGTTCAGTTGTTAAGATGTGTTGAATGTTTATTATAGAATTGGTTAAAACTACACTTCATCACTTCAAGCTACACTTTTTATTTCATTTATTCCAAAAATTAGGAACTTTATTTTAGTTTACTTAAATTTAGCATTTATTATCCCTCCAGTTTGATATTTAAACTGACTGAAATATTATTTGATTTGACAGTCCGTTGTTGACTAAAACATATGTTGATACAACTATACGTTATAGTACTGAATGATAACGCAAGTTAGTTGTTTTGATGTTCCAGACCTTTGCTTCGGGATATTTTCTCTAACTGGACCTCTTTGAATTCTAATTGAAACCCCTGTTCTACACAAACCTCGTTAATAAAACAACACTAAAACGATAGATTAAACAATCCACACACTTCAGCCTTCACCACTTAATGCATGCTCGCTCCCGCGGCAGGGGAAACACTTTCTGTCGGGGATAACTACCTTGGCACGACACCGGCACTGGGAGTCTTGTTAAAGTTGAGGGTTGCATGGATTCCACTCAGTATCAGCAGATACTTAAGAATAATATAGAGGAATCAGTCACAAAGTTGAAATTACGTCGGGGCTGGATATTTCAACAAGACAATGACCAAAACACTGCTCAAAATCTACTCTGGCGTTTATGCAGAGGAACAAGTACAACGTTCCCCAGACCTGAATATCATTGAGGGGAGATTTGAAGCGGGCGGTCCACGCTCGGCAACTGTCAAACCTAACTGAACTGGGGATGTTTTGCAAGGAGGAATGGTCCAAAATACTTTCATCCAGAATCCAGACACTGATCACAGGTTTTAGGAAACGTCTAGAGGCCGTGATTTCTGCTAAAGGAGGCTCCACTAAATATTGATATTTCTGTTGGGGGCCCAAATTTATGCACCTGTCTACTTTCGATCTGATGCATATCGCACATTTTCTGTTCATCCAATAAACCTCATTTCACTACTGAAATATTACTGTGTCTTTCAGTTATTTGAGAGCTCAAAACTAAATTGCTGCTCCAAACACCCGATTATTTATAAGTGAAAATCATGGTAATTGTCAGGGGTGCCTAAACTCTTGCATATGACTGTAAATATGTGTTCTCTATACTGTAGCCTGTGTCTGATTTTATTATTGTATGAGGAAGCACATCGTGAGTCAAATTCCTCTTATGTGTACACATAAAGCTGGTTCTGATAAAAACAGACGTCAATCCAGGTTTGATTGGGCCGAATTGGTCGAATGTCAGTTGTCCAAAACAACATATTTATAAGAATAATAGCAGTAAAGAGGACAAACCTGCTCTGTGTAACCGGACTTCAGGCTGGAAAACAGCGTCCAGTAGTTTCCTGTGTCTCTGGTTCTCCTCTTTGGAACGACAGAGTTCCTCCTCGTACTCTGATATCGTTCTTTCAAACAGCCCAAATATCTCTTCAGCAGCCGCAGTTAGTCGCTGGTTGATAAAACCTCTCAGCATCTGGACTTTAGACATTTTAAACAAATGAAAAACACAGTTTGGACTCAGAGTTCCTCCAACCAGCGCTGTGTGGCCGAGTTCCGTCTATTTCCAGCTAGCAAGCTAAGCTAACTTCAGTTAGCATTCGTGGCTAACAGGAGATGAGTCTGAGGCGAAACCAAAGTTTCCACTTTGAACTCTTTTCTATCTAAAAGGTTCCGCTTTAAACTCGTTTCTCTATCCACACAGGCTCTGGCGCTTCACTCCGGATTAGTATATGTTAAACGGAAACGTTAGCGTGTTAGCCACCGGAAGTCAAACTTCTTCTTCTTTTTATTGACGACCTGTGACCGGAGGACATTATCGCCACCTTCTGTTTCTTACTTACATATCTGCTAAAATCCTTCTGTTCAGTCCAGTTTGTTGTTAAAAAAACAAAAAAAACAAAACAAAACCATGAGATGTGTTTAAGCACCAATTCAATTCAATTCAAATTAGCTTTATTGGCATGAATGTAATAACAACATTGCCAAAGCATCATATACACAACATAAGAACAATCAGCCCCAAACATTTCATTAAACAATAAAGCGTAAAGTAATGAAAGCGTATGTGTGTTTGTGTTTAAAAAAAAAGACAATAAAAGAAATATTAAAAATTAAAATAAATAAAACAGTAAGTGTGTGTGTGTTTGTGTGTGTGTTATAAAATAAAAATATATTAAAAATAAAATAAATAAATGAAACAGTAATGTGTGTGTGTATATTAATAGACAATAAAAAACATTTTTTGAGTTATTTGAGAAAATAGTTTTAATGTCCATTTGTTTCATTCCTTCATGTTCCAGTCCATTTCTTAAAGCCAGTCTTTAATTCGAGGATTTAGTGAGATGCATTGAACTTTGTGTGACCCAGTCTATCTCTGTTCTCAACTCACTCTGTATAAAGATAACAATATTTCAAACATAATATCCTCCCTACATTTGAGACAGAACAAATTATCATTCTCATGGGTTTGACTCCCTCTAGATCCACGGTAACGCTAACAAGACTGCCATCATTTCTGCTGCATACTTACATAATAAATGATCGGTAAATCTTTTAAACACATTCATTTTTAATTCTGGAATGTAAAAAGCACAGCTTGATTTTCCGTTCTCTGGGTTTTTAGAACCATCCGTAAATAAATGTACGTAGTACCCATAATTCTCATGCAGCGTAGTGTTCACGTAAGCTTGCAGATCAAAAATGTTTTTACTTGAACAAACCTGTTTCAGCAGAGAAAGATCAACTCTAGGCTGAGGTAATAACTATGGTGGAACAGCTGGCATTAAAGCAGCTGGACTAGCGACCCAATCGTTGATTCCTAACTCCTTTGTTAGATCCACAATTACATTTTTAAATACCTCCTTTTTAATTTTGCTGCTTTCCCAACTTTCATTCATTATCCTTTTTGTAGGATGTGTGTCTTTTTGGCTTTGTAAAATTAGCCCAATAATTGGTCCTCAACTGCTTCCATCTCAGAATCAGTGGCATTTCTCCAACCTCAACTTGAAGCGCTAATATTAGTTTTCACTTAACAGCTCCACAGCATAATCTCAATGCTTGGGCCTGAATTTTATCCAACCATTTTAAAGATGTACTAGCAGCTGATCGAAAAACTATACATCCATATTCTAGAACGGATCTTACTAATGCAATATAAATATTTCTTAAAGAGGTCATATCTTTATCGGACTGGATCAAGAGTTTCAGAGCGGTGAGTTATTAATCTGTATCCATAAAGTTTTAACTGAGCTCCGTCTCTACATCACAGGAACAACTTTATGTCCACTGGAGGGTAGCTAGCGTTTGGAAGGGAGAAGAGAGCTGTGTGCTGCAGCTCGCTGTTTTTCACCGCTGTTTCTGAGGGCGTGTCGGAGTAGCCGCTCAATGAGCGTTATATGAGGCGCATTTAGCTTTCGAAAGGGAAGCGGCTGGACTACAAACGAGCTGTTTTCAGGCAGTTCTGTGGGAGATGGGAACTTTTCACTTCACAAACCTGTTACATGCACAAAAAAGGAATATAACTCAATAAAGGAGAGGGAACAAGCCAAAAAACACCTAACAATACCACCTTTTTAACGCCACTCGATCAGCTCCTCAAACATTGCCTGTTAAACACCTCATAATATTCAATACTTTCTTACATTTATCTTCCACTTCATCAAAATGATTTTTCCACGTAAGCGACACATCAAAACCACAACAACATGGTTTTCCCTCTCTCTAACCTGTGATTGTACATTTTCAAACATATATCTTCTTGTCAAAAAGATGGTTTGAGATTTCTCAACAGATAATTTAAATCCCCAATTCAAAGATTTTCAACCACACCAACAGCTTCCTGAACTTTCTTCACAGCATAATCCATACTCCTCCCTCGTTTCCAAATTGCCCCATCATCAGCGAAAAAAGCAATTTCCCAGTGTCTGGATTAACATTCTTATAAACATAATTTATCATGATTTAAAACAGTACTGCACTTATGACACCTGCAAAAACATTCATCTCTTGAGTTATTTTGCATATCCAAAGAAGGTTAAAGTCAAGGGCAAGTGGACTTGGTTGAAGATATGAAACATCTTCCAGTTGCCCTTGACTTTAACCTTCTTTGGATAACTATGACCTGGATGACTGAGAATCTTCACAGACTTCTTTTGCATAATATCTATTAGGTCAAAGTTTACTTTTATCTTTAATGAGGTTTGATTGTTTGGTTTGTAAAGATTCTGCTGTCTCAGTTACCCAGAGCCCAAAGTGACGCCTTTACAAACCTCAACATTAATTACCAAACATCCCAGTTATTGCAAACATTTAAAGGAAAAGCAGCCAATTTTCATGCGAGAAGCTGAAACCATCAGATGTTTTTACACAAAAAAAACCCAAATAAAAACAGTTGCATTCATTCAGTGATTAATCGACTACTGATGGAGTTTAATTCATAACAAAACATCAGATTTGATCAACTCCTCATACGTTTTGTGCAAAAATCTTAATAAGTAACTAAAACTGCATTAAAAATCAAAAAGAGAGCGGACTTGTAAATATTTACTTTTTAAAAACACAATTTGATTGTCTCGTTTTTTTCTTCATGATCAGATTTGACCAGAAGATGATATTTCGGGCTCAGAAGTGGGTCACAATGTTCAGTCTCCAATATATCAAATGCATCAACACACTTTTGATTTGTTGTCGTCTCATATAGTTATGACTTAGAGCTGATTCCTCAATTAGTCAATGGACAGAAAATTACTTGACAAGAATTGGAATTATTATTATTTGTCATTTATCAGATATTTAATTTGAGGATGTCACCTTGGGCTCCAGGAACTTGCGGTTGACATTTTAACTACCTCCAGACATCGCACAGACTATAGCCTGACCCATACTGGATTTACGATGATGTGTTGGCCAAATTTAACACAGATATCACAGGCAGATTACAGCATTTGCAGATTATATACACATATATCACCCGAAATGACCAAACACAACTACACTCACCTAACAAAAGGGATTGTGAAGTTGAATATTAAATTATATTAAATAACTGGAGTACACATAAATAATTCACAACACAAATGAGCTCTTTAGTAACAGCTCTTTTAATGTCAGTTTTAATTGCACGTTTACTTTGAACAAGAGGGGCAAAACAAGACGTGATCTGCTGCAGGGACGGCTTTAAGGCTTGTGAATTAGCTGGTCTGCACCCAGCTGCTGCAAAACTTTTAATGTTCCAGGGATTTATAATTTTTACACTCGTGCAAAGTGCACACGCTCAGTCCAAAAACAAGATGATTTCCAATGTCAAGGTGTGTGTCTGGTTCTGTTATCCAGTCTTGGGCTGCCAAGTTATAAGGATCTACGTTGTTTATCATTATTCACTGAAGTGTTTCAGCAGCCGAGTGTTTAGCCTACACGTTGTTAACGCGTTGTTAATTTGTGTGTGCTTCAACTATGACAGCTACCTGCAGGCCAACGTTACATATCCACCTAGAGCATTTCAGAATAAAAGCGTTTTGCCTGTCTGATTTTGCCTATTTGTTCAGTTGTCCTTGATTTTTTGTGCTTCTACCATGGTTAAGTAGCTATGTAGTTAAATTGTTTATTTTTTGGGGTCTGTTTTAACTTGTTGATGTACGATCAGGAGTCTGCAAAGGGTGTTTTATTTTGAAAATTGATCAGAGTCTCTATACTGTTCTGTGTCTGACTTCCTGTCTGGTTCATCTGCTCTGTGCTGCTTGACGTGGCTTCAGTCAAAAATAGACTGGCAGTGAATATTGAACTTTAGCAAAACATAGTGCCCCCCCCCCAATTACAACACATGCCACATCCCTTTACAACAACAGAAACATGAAACAAAAGCCTTACAGGTTACCTGTTGATAAGTTCCTGTAGTGGAAAAACGCCATTAGTGACACACCCGTTGTGCTCTGTTCACTACAAGGGATTGATGCTGAATCCTGCAATAACTGCCTGGATTCATTGGATCAACTCGGCCACAGCATATGATCGTTTATGTTAACAAAGGCATCTGTGAAACAAACACACTTGTGGTTTTTGAGATGCGATTGTCTGTTGAACCCTTTGCCACAAACACTGCAGCTGAACGGTTTCTCGCCTGTGTGGACAGTCATGTGTTCAGTCAGAGATCCTCTCTGTGTAAATCTTTTGCCGCAAATTGAACAACTAAAGGGTCTCTCACCCGTGTGGATCCTCATGTGCTGACCCAAAGTCCCTTGCTGACTAAAACTGCTGTTACAAACAGAGCAGGTGAAAGGCTTCTCTGCGGTGTGGATTCTCAGGTGTGCGACCAAATTTGAGTTCTGCCTGAATCTTTTCCCACAAATGGAGCAACCAAACGGCTTCTCGCCAGTATGACATCTCATGTGGCTCTTCAGATTTCCCTTGTGGACAAATCTTCTACCGCACTCAGAACAGCTAAACGATTTTTTAACAGAACTGCTTCTCAAGTCACTCACAGGGACGTCTTTATTTTCCAGGACATTAACATATGATGAGTCAGAAGGAGATCCTCTGGCCTCTGTCCAGTCCTCATTACTCTCTTCAGCCACATGTTTATTAACGTGTGATGTTTCATAACTTAGAGTTGGTTGTAAACAACTATCTGACTTAAAGTTCCTGGCTGGTTCTGGTCCTGCACAGTCCTTTCCATCAGTTTCTGTTTCCATCTGTTCAGTCTGGCTTTGATGAAGCTGTGAGGACTGAGGTTTCTCTTCATCATCTTCTTCACTCTTCACAGGGACAAGAGTGAATGGGAACTTGGTGATATCAGCCTCCTCCAGTCCTGGAAGCTGCTCTCCCTCCTGACTGCTCCAGAGCTCCTCCTGTTCCTCTTTAATGTGTGGCGGCTCTGGTGGGTCCTCCTGGTCCAGCCTGGGGCTCCACTGCTGCTGCTGCTGCTCAGTGGGAACCTCTTCTTTACTCACCAACAGCTGCTGGACCTCTGTGGAGAATAATAAAAACACACCCAGATTCTAAAAAACTGACTGCAACACTCTCTACCTTGTGGTTGGGACCTCATATGAGCTCAACTGATAAGCAGACGGGAAGACTTTCCTGACTGATGTGTCGATATCTGTTTGATATGCAGCTTCAGAGTAACTCAAAGGAAATGTCCTTGCATAAAGAAGCAAAATGGTATTTTTCATATTGGAAAACATCCTTACAGTTATTATTAGACTACTTGAGCCATATTCAGATCGATAAACATTACAGGTGGTTTATTATCAGTCGGGATGCAATTTTAAAAATTTCGCAAAATGACAGGATATGGACTGTAACACACATTCAGCAGGACGACGCCAAGTTGAGGAAGACAAAAGCCTCCTCAGGGGGGCACCGGAGAGCTGAAGCGCTCCGTCAGATTTGTATGCACAACATTAAACGCATATTGAATCCTTCAGAGTGACTTATGGACTTGTATTTATAAGGAGGGGGTGCAAACCAGGCAATAAGGGAGGCACACACATTTTTAAATGCTTGTATTTATTTTAAATACATTTTTTCTCTTCTAAAAGCTACACTTTCGTCACTGGACCTTGCCTTAACACAGTGCGGCTGGACGATCCCTTCTCTATCACAGAATCCTCACAACCTTATTTACACCTGGGATTGTAACTTCGTTATCATCATTGAAATTGGATCTCTGTCCCCCAGAGCAAAACCTGCACATGAGGGCAAAGCATCCCCAGACTCCTCTCACCTCTTACTCTTAAAAACTCAGAGATCCACTTTAAACTACATGGACATTGACCGGGACAGGATTTAAAGTACAGACTACTGCACACAGCTGGAAGCTTCTTCAAACTTCACTGCACTTAAAAAATACAGTCATTGAAAGATGAAGATGGGGTTTTTGGATTAGAGAGCAGCAGACCACGATCCACCCGGCACAAACAACCGGACAAGGCGCCACGGCGGGTGTGGTGATCGCTCAGCTTGGACTTATTTCTGCTCCTAAAGATCCAGTCTGGACAAAATGAGACCAAGTTGACCAAGCAACGGAATTCAGAGACTGCTGTGCCCACATGGTTACAGAGACCTGCCCCATCAGGCGCTCGGCAGGCGGTCCATGTTCTGAGCTGTCAGAGCAAGATGAGAGGAGGTGGACTGGTTTTACATCGATGATGCTTGATGCACAAAGACAGTCAAAATGGACTCTGTTTCCCATGTTTCAGCCTGTTTATTGTGAAGATGAAACTTTCATTTCATCATCTGGTTGCTGCTGTTTACATTCACCCCAGATATAAACTCAAAAAAACTCAGTGAGGAATGTTCAGGGTGTATACCTGTATGTAAATATGTATATAAATAACTGTATTGTTTTATTTAATTTTATATGTTACCATATTTAATATAGGCCTACACTTAATTATATGTTGTGTGTGTAGCACGAAGGAACTACACATTTAGTTTCGTTATGCAGCCTTGAGCTGAATGACAACTACCTTGTGTGCATTTTTCTCCACTGGGGTCTCCGGTCATGATGCTCTAGTTGAGGTATTTAATGTGAAGTATCTGCAGCTCTTAATCCAAATAACTGAACTGATTCACCCACAGACTGGAGTCCTCGTATTTACCGTAAGGTTTATAATATGGGCGCATTGCTATTCTGGGGGGCAGTGGCTAGTTTCGCAGCTGTTTTAACTGACAAGAACAGAGAAGAACAATAAAAAGTTTACAGACCAGCTCTGTGCAACTGAACATCAGGGTTCATACAGGTGTCCAGATGTTCTGGTTCTCTCTGGTTCTCCTCTTTGGAACGACAGAGTTCCTCCTCGTACTCTGATATCGTTCTTTCAAACAGCCCAAATATCTCTTCAGCAGCCGCAGTTAGTCGCTGGTTGATAAAACCTCTCAGCATCTGGATTTTAGACATTTTCACACGGAGACAGCGACTTTTTCTTCACAAGAACTCCGTGAAAACACAGTTTGGTCTCACCAGTCGAGCTAAGCTAACTTCATTAACTATGCAGGCTAACGGAGGGTAAAACATTCGGGATCACTCATAAAGTTAATTAATTCAGGTTTATCCAGACACACAGATGCTCCAGTGGATAACTCCTGTTGTATGTCAGGTTAAGAATTTAACGGCAAAAAGACAGAAAGCTTCTTCCTACGGGTCTTTTCGCTCTGCAGGGTTTAACCACAGCGAAACAGATCACTTCCGGTGCACTTCTTCTCCTTCTGTAGTGTCAAAATAAGAGCATCTAAAAGTACTAATACCTCACTGTAAAAATTCTCTGTTGCAAGTAAAAGTTTTGCATTTAAAATGTTACTAAAGAAAAAGTATGTAGGCTATGTATAATCAGGATAAAGTACCCCTGTGACTGTCAGACTATTATATACAATTAGATTATTATTATATTTTTACTCACGTATTCATGCAAAAGCAGGATTTTACTGTTGGTTGAGGTTGAACTATTTGTATCAGGCTGCAGTTTATACCTTTTTTCATTATGGATTATTCCATTCATGGATTGTAAAAAGTTTAGAAATAGTAAGAAATGTTGTCACAGCGCTTATCTTGTCAGTCCAAACCTCAAACTTATCAAAATAATAAAAAAGAAAAGCAGAAAATATTTACATTTGTGAAGCTGGAAAACCACAAAATGTTATAAAAAACATTATAAAAAATTATTTAAGCAATTATCAAAGTAGTGGCCAATTAAATTTATGTTTAACTAATGTACTAGCTGCATTTGTATAAACTGTTGGGGTTTTAATTTATAACAAAACGTCATATTTTTTTAAAAACTCTTCTCGCTCAACTTGTTGCTGCTACATTCCTGACAAACGTCAAAATATTAAATTTAATTTATTTTATTCAGTTTCTGTATCGTTTAGCTATATTTTTATTCCATTTTATATTGCATATACTTGACAATGACAATAAAGTCTGTTTAAGTCTAAGTCGTAAAGTAACTGAAGTTGTCAGATAAATGTCAAAAGAACAATATTTCCCTCTGAGATTTTGTAGACTAGAAGTAGAAAAAGGCGTGAAAAGATTATACTCAAATAAAGTACAAAAAACTAATTTATACTTAAGCACTTGAGTAAATGTACTGATTTTACTCGAGAATTTACTACAAAAATAAAAAACTAGTAGTTCGTAGCTCATAGCAAAATGCTTGTGGCAGTGTAAAATAAATGAATAAAAATATATTTTCATAATTGTCACAAAATTACGAGATATTCTTCTTTTATTTATGAGATCCTAAAATAAGAAGTTTTGTGGTACGCTAGGCCCTGAGACTCCTGTTGTGGTCAGCAATACGTAGAATGTCAGGGGTATATAAAAGAAGATTGATACCAGTGTTATAGAGACGGTAGCAGTTTCCAATAAGGAAAAAAGCAGACATGTGTGTTGACCGTTTTCAAGCAGAAGATCAGAGAGAATGGGGGCTGAGAGGCGCAGGAGAACAGAGTTGATGGCAGTTAATCAGTGGAAGCTGGAAAGGAGTTTGGAAAAATGATAATCCCATTTATCTGTTTTTTTTTTACAACAAAAGAGTTGAATGATGCAATTATGTCTGGGGCAAATACTACCCTGGGGGGAGAGAGGCTGTCTTATTAGTTGTTTAAACATCTGGATGACAGTGCACTTGATGAAATCTTAGCTTTGTTTAATACTGTGTGGGCTGAGGGCTATTTGCCTAAGGAATGGAAACAGGCAGTTGTGGTCTATCTTGAAGCCAGGCAAAGAGGCATCTGACCCTAGTTCAGAGCAGTGCTTTGTAAAGTCATGGAGAGGATGGTAACCAACAGACTGGTGTGTTTTATGGAAACCAGAGGACTCTCTGCGGATGTCCAGGATGGCTTTAGGAAAGGGAAGGTCGACAATGGAATCAGTGTCAGTTTTACATCAGGACATCAAAAGGGCATTCAGCAATAACGAAATAGTAATGAGTGTATTCCTGGATATTGAGAAGGCATTTGATTCTTTGTGGAAGGAGGGATTAATGATTAAAATTCTTAACTTGGGAGTTAGGGGACGAATTTTTAATTGGATTAAGGATTTTTTAAAGGAAAAAAACAATACAAGTAAGGTTTGGTAATTGTCAGGATTTGTAGTGTGGAGAAGGTCGGTGGACCCAAATGCAGGACACAGAACAAGCAAGTGCAGTTCAAAGAAGGTTTAATTCCAACAAACAAAAGGTGAGCACACTTACTGGCAGAGTGGCTGATAAACAGAGTCCAAAAAAACAAGGTAATCCAAAATCCACAGAAACAGGGTGACAAGACGAGCTCAACAGGACAACACACTGCACCATGGGACAGAGCGTAAACACGCTACAATGACCAGACACAGACTGAGGAAACAAGCAAGTATATATACACACAGATGGGTTAACGAGCTGGGAGGGGGATCCACAGGTGAAAGACACGAGGGACTAATCAAGCACACCGACAGGTAGAGTGACAGCAGGGGACAACAGACAGACACTGACAGACGCAAAACACAAGACCATACAAGACCATACACTAACTGAACACGGGCCATCTCAAAATAAGACGTAACAGATCACAATGATAAAAATAAACTGACTCAGACACAAGCAGACAGATCATAACACCAACAAGGAACACAGACTGAAGCTAAGATAAAAACAGAACTCAGAGCAGAGGGATGTTTCACACAACCTAGATAGCGGATTAAGCCGGGATTTTTCAGATATCCTGGCTGAATTAAGCCGTGACTCGGTTTCACAAAAGCAGTAGCACATAAATTACCATGGCGATTTATTCTGTGCAGCTAGCCTGCTCCAGACCAGGCTAACAGCTGGGCTTAGTTAATCCTGGTCCCTTATCTGTTCAGTCAGCGGTCACGCCGATCAGAGTGGGTTTTTTTCCAGTTATTCCATGTTCTTATATATTTGTTTTGCATATTTTTCATTAGCCTGTATTAAAATAGCAGATTGTGTTTATAAGGTTTCATAATTGGAGAAGACGCGTGCACCATACTTTGCACAAAACGAGCATCAGCGAGTCGGTTTACGTGGAATGAAAGTACATGTACAGAAAAATGATAAATAACATAAAAGGTAACTCAGGCACAGTAATAAGAAAGTGTGGCAGCCTATACTGTGAATGTGTGAGAACCTAAAAATATCACTGCTCTTAACTGAAACTCATAGTCATAATTGTGATGTTATATAGTTAAAAATGAGCACTGGACGTTATATGTCACTCAAGACATTTATGGCACACACATGATATATATATATATATATATATATATAGGCCTAAATAATTTTCATTAGGTTTCATAATTGAATAAAACTCCCAAATTACAGTCCCACTTCAGTAAAGAGACTATATTGTTCCCTGTTTCTTCATGAAACAACAGGGAGGGGACACCACAATGTTTCTTTGCCTTTTTTTGTCTCCCTGGGATCACTCGTCTGCTGGGAGCTCGGGAGAGAAAACAATGATTAATACATCGTTCTACAGTCATGCTACAGCGTGCTTTGCAATGATCACCTCTCTTTGTAGTTGCTGGATTTGGCTTCTTTTTATCTCCATAACTAGGTCCAAGTCCTGTTTTTCATTTTGTTAGTTTTTTCCAGGTGTGTGCAGTTCAGACATCTGACAGTTTGTAAAACACATTAATTAGCACAGCAGGAACTGTTCACCTGTGGGTGTCCTCATACTTAAACTACATTGCCAGACTGGCTGTCAGACTGTAGGTCTACAGCCTCAGGGTTAAAAATATCATACAGTATTTTCTATGAGCACCACATCACTGACTTATTATCTATTATCCATACTGACTTAACAAGTACAACATTTTGGTGCAGAATATTTTCCAGAAGTCAGAAAATTAAGTGTTTAATGCTCAAAAACATCTGGGGGAAGACTCCCCACTCATCTCAGCATTGAATCGTCACACCCCTAATCTGAGCTCTTAAGTCCCCAACACTTTTCAACACAAAGTTACTTTTTCTATCTACCTATCTGTATATCTGTATACAGGAGCAGTGATACTTTTAGCTACTTACTTATTAAGTCGGTCTATTCTCTGCCGTGCTTTTTCTCGCTGTTTTAATACTGTGGTCGTGTTTCTTTCTTTACTTGTTTTTAAAATTATGTGCATTTTTTCATCATAAACCTTCTTTACACACAGTGAGTAACAGCGAATAAAATACGCTGTACACGTCTTTAATGGGTTTCAGCATCAATGAATCTGTGATCGACCGTGTGGTCTCTTGAAGAAAGCTGTTGACGCCCATTTATCAGAATTACTGACACCTGGCTTGACATAGTCGCACCTTCTGAGCCTGGTTTGGCCTTTGTGAAACTGATAAACCCAGGATGCACTGTTCACACTAGGTCAAGCCTAGCTTTATGTCATATCCTGGATTTCTAAATTCTGCTTTTGTGAAACAGGCCTCTGGGCAAAACAACACAGAAGTTCACAGACCGGAAATAAACACTAAGACACAGGACTGGGAACTAAGACAAGAGACAAGACAGATACTAAGTAGCTTAAAGATGCGGATGAATAAAATAATAAAGGCTACACAGAGACTAAAGCAGAATGAAAAAAAAAACAGATTAATGAAACCATCAGAGGACATAAATGACAAACAGAAACAACAACATAGATAAAAGATACCTAACTGATAAATGAATAAACTCTGAGAACTAAACGGAACAGATGACAGGACTAACATCCAGATACAAAACCCTAAACACAGCGCTCAGGACAGGATCGTGACAGTAATGTCTGTTCAAAGACTGTTGAAATAGAGACTGAAACCCACCGAGGAAGTGTTACCTGTCCAGTTTTATTTAATATAATGAGTATCTTTGACAAAACAGAGAGAGGATTTGGGTTGTCTCTATTTGCAGATGACGGGGCCATCTGGAAATGTTTGTTTTAAAACAGGTTCAAAGAGTATTATTGTCTATAGAGAAAGACGTGGGGCTTCATTTCTGCATCTAAGACTAAATATGTTGTATTTGGTTTTAAAAGAAAGTTACCTAATATAGGGCTGTATATGTATGGGTGGGCGGCGCGGTGGTGCAGCGGTTAGCACTGTCGCCTCACAGCAAGAAGGTCGTGTCTGTGTGGAGTTTGCATGTTGTCCACGTATCTGCGTGGGTTCTCTCCGGGTGCTCTGGCTTCCTCCCACTCTCCGAAGACATGCAGGCTAGGTTAATTGGTGTTTCCAAAAAAATTGTCCTTAGGTTTGAGTGGTTGTTTGTCTATGTGTGGACCCTGCAATGGACTGGCGACCTGTCCAGGGTGCCCAATGTCAGCTGGGATTGGCTCCAGCTCCTGTAGGCAGGATAAGCGGGCGACGATGGATGGATATCTATGGGTCTCTACTGGAGAAGGTAACGTTTTTTTATTTTTGGGTGTATGACTGTATGGCTGACAAGTTCTGAGAAAGTCCTGTGAAAAAGTTCTGAATGTTATGAGAAGTCTGGCTGGGTGTGAGTTGGGGGGGGGTCTTGATCAGATCTGCTCTTGATTATGGGAGTTTTGTGTATGGATCTGCTTCTAAAACTGTCCTGGCTAAGGCTTTGAGGATCTGCTGTGGGGCCCTCAGGACTTCCCCGGTCCCTGCGCTGCTCGTTGAAATGGGAGAAATGCCCTTGTGGTTATGGCGCATTAAGTTAGGGTTCCAGTAAAACTTAGGGGGTGTAATCATACCTTCTCAGCAAGATGTCTGTTACAAGAGACTGCTGGTGATAAAAAGAATATTTTTTTGTCACTGTAAATCAGTGGGCAAGGAAGCTGGGCTTGGAACAGGGAGGTATTGTAGAGCACACAAGACGGCTGCCTATGCCTTATTGGGTGATGCCTGAATTGAGGAAAGCGACCCCAAGTATAGTGGAATATCTTAATTCAATCAGTGAGGGCACTTTAATTGTTTTTACAGATGGATCTAGAGATCCAGTTAGCGGGAGAGCCGAGTTTGTATGTGGTATGTGAATGAATTTCTTCATTCATTCATTCATTCGTTCATTCATTGAGGCTTTTTTTGTTGCATCTTTGTTTGGACACAGTGAGAAACACAAAATGATCTCCAAGGCACTTCTGCAGTTTCTACATGATACAGGATTGTATTTGAGAATTTAGATCTAACTCTGACCTGTGGCGGGCAGTAATACGCTAAACAGCGTCTACTCTGCCGAAATAGGAGGAGAAGAAGAAGAAGAAGTTGTACACCTTATTTTGAAGGTTAGTAACCGGAAACACTTGTCTTCACTGTTACGGCTGACTTTGTAAACAAAGATGGCGTCCAGCAGAAGCAGCTTCGTTCCGTGAGCGACGTTTCTTCTCTTTAAAACTTTCACTGGATGAAACATCAGCTTCACGGTATCATATAAACACAAAATATAGTTAGCTTAGCTTCTTAGCTTCAGATAAACGGACAAGGACGCCGCACAACTACCTGTGAGACTGACTGATCGAGACCAACGTGTGTTTTCACTGGGTTCATCCGGAGAAAAGGTGATTTTATTGTGTGAAAATGTCGAAAAAAGTCCTAACGCTGAGAGCTTTTGTCAACCAGCGACTATGTGCGGCTGCAGAGGAGATATTTGGGCTGTTTGAAAGGACGATATCAGAGTACGAGGAGGAGATTGATCGGCAGCGCAGTTTGCTGCAGGACGCGCAGAAAGATGAAGCTGGTGGGTAAAGTCATCCACATCTGCTCAGTTTCTCCTTATAATATAACATTCCTCCTATTAACAACATCCTTTGATTAAATTTTTTTTGTCATTATTACTAGATTTGAACAATAAACCCCTCCTGTAATAACACATCCATCTTGTTATATCACAAAACATTGTCGTCTTTTAACAAAATCAACTCATCAAAACAAACCCCTTCCTGATGACATGTCAAGTTACCATATTGTTATAATAGCAAACTGCAAGCTGTAGTCCAATGCAGGGTGCAAACTTGACCACCGTTGACCGGCCACTCATCACTCATTACCATCGCTGTTTTTCGACTAGAGAATGAAAGAAATCTTCCAGCCACTATTATTGTACTTATTTTACCAGCATTTAGCTGGTGGCTTTTGCTAATTTTGCGCCCTGATCATATGGCATAATTAATGATAAATACCGGATGATCTGGACACCAGGCAGGGTGTTTGTTTAAAAATATATTCAATAATAATAATGCTTTTGTTTTGATTGTGCACCTTTGTGTAATCTCATTGTGTCTGGATTTGTAAATGACCGGGCTATGACTAAGTGCTGGTCTGTGCAGTGTTGACATGTCGGGCAGAGGTGTTTGAGTATCTAACCATAATGGAAATATTAATATAACAATAATAAGCTTTATTTATAGAGCACTTTTCAAAAAACAAAGTTTCAAAGTGCTGTAACAAGCGCAAAGACAATAAAACTCAGATAAAAGCAAGAAAACATCTAAGAAACTAAAATACATGTTAAAAGTAAAGACAAAATATAAAATCATGTAACATCAGGAAAGGCTCTAAGAAGTTAAAGAGTTCTCTGACTCCGCCGCCCTGATTTCCTCCGGCAGGCTCAGGGCCCCTGAGACTCTGGAAGGGACAAAAGAGGATCTCAAGGTACCTTCTGGTGCGTATGGGAGATATAACAAGGAGAGAGGCCATGAAGTGCTTTAAAAGTAATCAATAAAATGTTAAAGTCTATATTAAAATATACTGGGAGTCAGTGTAATGAAGCTAAAACTGCGGTGATGTGATATATTGGGATGTCATATTTCTTTGCTCTGGTCTAAATCCACCACCACGTCCTCACAGCGAGAGCCACATGCACAAGGCCAGATACAGTAACAGGCTTTAGGGATGTGCTTAAATGTGCATTCAGTTCAGTGCCCCACCCTAAGACCTGCCTCCTCCTTCCTGACCACATATTGTACTTCACAAGGCTTTACAAATGAAATCTGCACTTGCAGCTGTGGATGGCACTCTGTGTCATTACTACTACTCTTATGTGTACATCCGACACTCATAAGTGTATTTTACTATATAAAAATCCTATTAAAAAGAAGAATAAATTCAGCTTGGGATCAGCTTAGAGCTTGAATGTATCTAAAAATCACTTAGTTGTCGACTAATAAATTAATCGCCATCAATTTGGATAATGTTTTGAGTAATATTTTTAGGAGAGGAGGTTCATCCTCGGACTCAGCTGACAACATTGCTGCTGGCTTTAATGTTACTCTACTGCTGACAAACTTTGCACAAAGTTTATAATGTGTACGAGAGCCATGGATGAAGAAAATATGTTAATATTAATTATTCATTTAGCTGACGCTTTTATTGAAAGTGACTTACAATTGCTATACATGTCAGAGGTCGCACGCCTCTGGAGCAACTAGGGGTTAAGTGTCTTGCTCAGGGACACATTGGTGGACATGTCACAGGGGGAATCAAACCCAGGCCTCCGGCACCAAAGGCATGTGTCTTATCCAGTACGCCATCCCCACCCCATGTTTATGAGATGTAACATGCTTAACAATGGCAGACCACAGGCTCACAATGAAAAGGCTTCACAGTTATACCTGCTCACTGTCCCACGACCATCTGGACGCTGAAAATGTTTCACAACTCCAGTTTGTCAGTTGAAGGCTTGCTGCTGTTAAAATTTTCAAATAATGTAATTTACATTTTGCCTTTACATTATGTGTTTTTGTTTTTAAGTGTTTCCTGCAAATGTCAAGAAGTCTACGGTGATTAAACAGGTTCCCCCTGAGCAGCAGCAGCACTGGAGCCCCAGGCTGGACCAGGAGGACCCACCAGAGCCGCCACACGTTAAAGAGGAACAGGAGGATCTCTGGACCAGTCAGGAGGGAGAGCAGCTTCCAGAGCTGGAGGAGGCTGATCTCACCAAGTTCCCATTCACTCTTGTCCCCATGAAGAGTGAAGAAGATGATGAAGAGAAACCTCAGTCCTCACAGCTTCATCAAACTGAAGAGAACAGAGATGCAGAGCATTTGAAAACAGAAACTGATGGAGAGGACTGTGGAGGACCAGAACCAGCCAGGAACTTTAATCCAGGTGGACATTTACAGCCAGATAATAAGACTTCACTCTCCTCTGAGACTGAAGACCGTAGTGATGTCCTGAAGCAGAGAAAGGAACGTCAGCCAGGTTTACATACTCTGAAAAACAATGAAGCAGGATGTGATGCTACCAAACAGTGTTTTAGCTGCTCAGAGTGTGGTAAAAGGTTCGACAGCAAGGACCATCTGCAGATCCACATGAAATGTCATACCGGAGAGAAAACATTTACTTGCCCATTTTGTGGTAAAAAATTTACAAAAAGCTCAAATTTGACCACACACTTAAGAGTTCATACGGGAGAGAAGCCGTTCACCTGCTCCGTGTGCAACACAAGTTTTAGTCTGCGTTGCACGTTGGTGAATCACATGAGAGTCCACACCGGGGAGAAACCCTTTAGCTGCTCCGTTTGTAGTAAAAGATTTTCCAAAAAGGCCAATTTGACCACACACATGGCCCTCCACACTGAGGAGAAGCCGTTCAAATGCAGTATGTGTGACAAAAGATTTACATGGCATTCGCAGGTCAAAAATCACAAGTGTGTTGTTGACAGCAGCAGGTGAAGACGGAGAGCTGCTAGTTGAGCTTCATCGATCAGCAGTAACCAAAAACTGTAGTCACATCACAAGAGGATGTATATCTTTATAGGTATTTGGTAGTAGACGTTTTAACTACTTTAAATGAGTGAGATAAAGAGGAAGAGCGTTTCACTGAAGCCAATGCAATACGCATCTTGATGCATATCCAGCAATCTGAGACATTAAAGGGGGGATATCAGCGGTCACTAGCAGTGCAGTTTTAAGATTGCAACCGGGCGTGTGCACGTACGCGTGCTTGAACCATGGGCTTAAACCAGGGGTTCTTAACCTTTCTGGCAGTCCGACCCCTTTTTGAAGTAGAAAATATTCGTGCCTGACGTCATTTGCGTTCTTTTCCATTTTCCAATCTAATGAATGGAGAGACGGGCCCTCAGTTGTGCTGACGGAAGTTTACAGGTGCTTGGATTGTCCAGCGACATCCTAAAATAATCCTTAAACCATCGTTAAGACGAAGCCCCTGGACCAGCTGGTGGTCCTACCAGCGGCGTCTCCTCTTTCTGAGGGTCTCATGTGCCCACACGGATCTCCGTTTCCCCGTCTCCTGCGTCTTTGTACACCTCACACACTCAAACATTGCCAGAGCAGACGCCCTCTGTTTGTCTGTTTATTTTAAAGCTGATGTTTTTAGCAACAAAAGACTCCTGTGACTTGTGATCAAGTTTCTACTAATATGACAGTTCAGTACTTAGAAGCAACAACATGCCGGCTGTGACTTTTCCCCAGACATGTTCAGGCAAAATGAAGTGAAGCTAGATCAATATTGAAATATCAGATCCATAAATTAGGTTTACTGTGGATTACTGTGGTGCTGAATGACTTGCAGTGAATGATAAACATAAAAAGTTTTAGCGTAGTGAGTGGAATTCTATGATATTTTATGATTTACTATTTAGTTGTTACCTACAGTAATATTGTAACTTATCTCCATGGTGCAAATGCTTTTATTTTAGTAATGCATAATTAACAACAAGGATTTATTAACTTACACACAGCTGCTGCAACAGGCTGCTAGAACAATTTGGATGCAGTTAGTCGTTAAAATCATTAAAAAGCTTTATTTGGCAGTCAGTGTTTTGAAAAAATACTTTTTATTGCACTTTACACATTTCTAAATACATTTAAAAAGCACAAGGTGCTTTGTCTCTTTACATTATGCAGACCAACATTCAGTTGCCAGTTCATTTTAAATTTATATTATTTCTCTGGTTCTGGTTTGACTGGGGGGGGTTAGGGAGGGAGCGACACCATGTGCTGTTCCACAACAGGTTCAGCAGGAAAAGCTTCCAGAGAGACGAGATGACTCTGTTTTTATTGTCGTTTGTTTCTGGCTGTGGTTTTCCGGAAAACCTTGTTTTGACACCTTAGAACCAACCTGAAACCTGAAACCTGCACACACCCAGTCTCAGGCAGCTGCTTCAGAGTTGACTTTTACTTTGACACCACTGCAGGACGTGCACAGTTTTTACCACCAAGAGCTCATCACATTGTAAAGGTTGTTACTGTTGGTTAAATTCACTGTTCACATCCATTGGATCGTAACTTATTAGATTTATACTTACTGTGTTTTGTTTTGACCACTGTTGTAAATTTAACTCTATGAATGAACTGGTAGCTGTTGTGCGAAGTGCTGAATAAATCAAATGTACTGTTACAATCTGTGTCTCTGGGCTTTCAGAAAACTAGAACTAAACACTTGAAGAGCCAAACGGCTGATTTGAGACAAACTCAATGCACAAAACAATTGTTGACTCTTCAGCTTCTCAGTCAGTTCATCAGACGGTTGAAGAAAGAAAAATATCAACACTATTTATTCTTACTGTAACACAAATACTGTTACAGATTAAACTATCCAACAGTGTCTGTTTTGTTTATAATGTGTGTATATGTGTTCTCTGTACTGTAGCCTGTGTTTGATTTTATTACTGTATTATTGTGTTATTGTATGAGTAAGCATTGTACAATCCAGAGTCAAATTCCTCATATGTATAAACATACCTGGAAATAAAGCTGATTCTGATTCTGATAAAGTTGTTTAATGTAATTTAACCTCAATGAATTACAGCATCAAAGCGCTGCTTACATGTTAAAAGGTATCAGTAACAATAAAGCAATAACGTAAAAAACATGCACAGCTCCCCAACAAATATTTTACTGTACATTTTCTGCTATTATGTTTGTGTACTGTTTACTATTACTTTCCACATTTACTGAAGGAAAGGATCTGTGTGTTTCTGCCATTATTAATCTTGACAAAGGTTCGGTGACTTTTATTTTGAAGATCTGGTACCAAGTGCTTGTGATTTTGTTGGCAGTGCAGAGACGAGCGAGAGCAATTATTTGTTCATCACTACAGTTTACAGACGAGTCATTCAGACAGCAGACCAGACATTATGATAGAGGTACAGCAAACGTTACAGAGTTCAAATGAAGGGTCTTACAGTAAGATTTTTATGGCTACCGGCACATAATGGGATGAAACGTAATTAAATGGCAGATAAAGTAGCAAAGGAGGCCACAGAAAGTGAGAACATTGATGTGGTTTTCAGCTTCAGTAAGACAGAAATCAAGAGCATTATTAAATAGAGGATGAAGGAAATAACGATGGTTTTTGAGGGAAAGTGAGGAGAAACGAGATGTGCATGCGGGAACAGGAGAGACAATATATCAAGACAACAGTCTATTATTCAAAATTGGAAAACATAATTCAGGCTCATTTGACTTCTGTGGGCAGAAAGAAACAGCGTGTTGTGTTACACAGTCAGAAATATATGAGGAAGAAAGAAGGCAGCTGCTTCCAAACCTCAGAAAGATAAAAACAAACTTCCATTTAATACATATTCTGCAAAATATCTGAAGAGATAATGATATCGAATCCTGTTTCAGTTTCTAATATATGATAGATGATAGTAAAATGTAAGGACGAGTCGTTGTGATACACACGCCGGTACAGTAGGTGGCGGTAAAACCACAACACCATCAAAGAAGAAGAAGCCGTGGTACCGGAAGCACTATTACTTACTGTGGCTAACATGCTAATATAGCTCGTTTTCTCTTTATACATCCATGGTTAACGCAATACTTGGATAAGATCCAACCGGTGTGAACCAGCAGAGCCTGTATGTATGGATAAACGTGGAGTGTGTGCGAACATTTCGGGATGTTTCACCTTTCATCTCCTGTTAGCCACGAATGCTAACTGAAGTTAGCTTAGCTTGCTAGCTGGAAATAGACGGAACTCGGCCACACAGCGCTGGTTGGAGGAACTCTGAGTCCAAACTGTGTTTTTCATTTGTTTAAAATGTCTAAAGTCCAGATGCTGAGAGGTTTTATCAACCAGCGACTAACTGCGGCTGCTGAAGAGATATTTGGGCTGTTTGAAAGAACGATATCAGAGTACGAGGAGGAACTCTGTCGTTCCAAAGAGGAGAACCAGAGACACAGGAAACTACTGGACGCTGTTTTCCAGCCTGAAGTCCGGTTACACAGAGCAGGTTTGTCCTCTTTACTGCTTATTCTCACTGCAGACTGCTGCTACTCTAAAAGAGATCTAGGTCTTAATTATCATATGGACAACAACAGCGAAGCAGTCAGTGGCGATGAAGCTCTTCACATCACACTCCTGTACACAAAACAAGCACAAAGAAAAAACACAAACTACTCCTGTACACGCACCCTAAACAAGATTAGTAGAGAATATTGTAGTTAGGCAGGTGGAAACAATATGAGCAGCTACTGAGTTACAAAAATGATGAATAAATACTTATAAATAGTATAGGATACATTTAGATGTCAGGGTCACTGGGTTCTTGCACAGGGGTTGATCCTGATACTGTGTCTGGAGTCAGCTGTTCATCAGAGGGATGGCTTGTGGGTAGAAACTGTTCCTGTGTCTGGTTGTTTTGGTGTACGGTGCTCTGCCAGAAGGGAGAGGCTGAAACAGGTTGAATCCGGGGGGATGTGGATCTGCAGAACTCCGGCTCCTCCTAAAGTCCACTGTTACCTCCACAGTTTTGAGAGAGTTAAGGTCCAAGTTGTTCTGGCCGCACCAGATCAACCTCTTGTCTGCCTGCATTGTGGTTACTGCTTACGCTTAACAGTGCTGATTATAAAGTCTCACGGCTGCAGGAAGAAAAGATCTTCTGAATCTCTCCTTCACACAGCGTGGGTGTATCAGCCTGCCACTGAAGGAGCTGCTCCGTGATGTTAGTGTCTCATAAAGATGGTGGGACGAGGTCTCTAACGTGGATGAGAACTTAGCTCTCACCCTCCTCTCTCCCACCATCTCTACTGGCTCGAGCGAGCATCCCAGGACAGACTGTTCTGTCTCTCCATGTCTGCCGTTGTGATGCTGCTACTCCAGCAGACCACACCAAAGAAGATGGCTGACGCCACCACAGAGTCATAAAATGTCCTCAGGACTGCACCCTGCACTCTAAAAGACCTTAGTCTCTTGAGCAGGAACAGTCTCTTCTGGCCCTTCTTGTAGAGGGTGTTAACAATGTCCGTGCAGTCCAGTTTATTGTTTACCTGGAAACCAAGATACCTGTTGGAGTCCACAGTCTCAAAGTCGATGCCGATACTAAAGTGAAAAAGAGATGATTAATAAGCAGAAATTTTGATTTTGAAAATGATTTGGACAGTAGAACCTTTTCTGTATGAACTACAGTTAGAAATGGCCGATATTGAAACTATATTATTATTATTAACTATATATTTTCTCTCTCTTCCTCCACTTTGCAAACATTAGCATCATAATCACGTTCAAAGAATTTGCATCGATGCATTTTAGTAATCGATTTAATCGACCTTTTCCTGAATGGATTATGATTAAAAAAAGTCTTTTGATTACAGTCTCAACAACTGAACATGCAAACATTTGCACATCAATAAATATTTGCTGCTGGAATCTGTAATGCAGAGACAGCAAAAATAAGAATGTGTACACGTAATCTGCCGTAATAACTGGCCTACTTTTAATGTGCTATATTCACATCTAGTTTATCTCTTTACCAACACTTTTTAAAATTCTATCCAAAGCTATGAGAAATCATTTTTCAACTTCCTGGCTCATGAGGTTTTCCGACTTGTTAGCTGGAACGCCGTCAGCTCGGGTGTGACGTCATTCCCAGCGCCGACCTCCAACTCCTGAGGTAAATGGAACGCAGCGTAACATCAACAGAACAAAAGGTTTCAACATCTGTGTCATATATGCTGGGGACACGCCCCCATCACTTTTTGAAAGCGTTTGTTAAAAATGCTTTGCCCATTTGCCCATATCTATTTATTTATTTGAGTAAGATAATACAAGCTACTGATTATAAAATTACCCCAAAACGTGCTTGCGTCACGTCAGTCAGTAACTTTAACACCTTCTTCACAGTTTTTCTTTGGCTAAATTTCCTGTTCTCTCCCTTTGAAGATGACAAAAGAGGAGGGAAGATTAAATCCTGTCTGCATGTGTGTTGCCTCAGCAGGGATGATATTACATGAGAAATGTTGATCTACGGGAGAAACAGATCTGAAAGCAGCACAGAATGAGAGCCTTACTGCATTTTAAATTTACTCCTACCACCAGATTTGGTGTTTCCCTTTACAAAAACATTTCCACCATAAATGCAGGAAAGGCAGAAATTGGTGCAGAAAATGTACAAGAATGCAGGAAATGAAGTGTTTAATGCTCTAAATCTTCTGGGGGAGGACACCCAGACCTCACCACCTCAAATATTTTTTAGCATTGAGGATTTCTAGAAAATAGTGTTAAAATAAAATCATGTCGTTCTTGTGACCAATATGGTGCATCGCCACATCTCGTGAACTAACTGTATCATCACACCCCTAATCTGAGCCCTTATGTCCCTACTGCTTTTCAACACAAAGTATCCTTCTCACCTTTTTTACCCTTGACCAGTTTGCACGCCTGTGTTACCTTCAGTAGGTCCCTTGTCAAAGCCTCGATTTCTCCCAGTTGGAGAGCTAATTTAGGCAACCGTTTCACAGTTTGGATCACCTGAAAATCACCAAAGATGACGATGCACATTGCCACGCTAAGAAATGAGTGTCTGTCCAACGCGATGGTTACTGTAAGAGGAGTTAGGGACCGTCTCAAAAGTGCTAAACAATCCATTTCAATGAAATAAATCAGTACTTTTTTGATATGTATTTGTAATTGCCCTCGGTGGGTTAAGCAAGATGCAGAGAGTCTCGACTGATGTCTTTAAGGTTTCTTTATTTCTTTCTCCATATCCGTAGTGCACCGTGAAAATATATAAACATAAGTACTTTTATACACGTTACATTTAGCTAAAATCAACCATGCTATAACAATAACCCTAAATAAATACACAATCAGATAACGTCACTTTATCCCAAGAACCATATACTCTACACAATAACCTTTAAAATCACATACTGGATTAGTACATCAAAGCTAATTGCTCTTCGTCAATACATAGCCAAACTATTTACAACAAGAAACATGAACATTTCACTCCCGCAACACCAACATACACACCTCGTTCCACTTCCCAAGGGCGTTAAACCAAACCCTGGCAATTTCCTTTGTTACTTATCATCTATAAGTTTGGCGTCTTAACTGTGTGCTCCTGTCTGCTTTCTCTTCCTTTGTTTGTGGGTTTGCGACAGCCGTAAACTGGTAAGTACGGGGTTTATCTACACTTTGCAGGGGGTTAGTTTAGCCTTGTGACAGAAACTATACTGCCCACTGGTGGACACCACTGGTACCTGCGTGGAGTGATGTGTTCATGTCTACACCATAATCCTAATAAAAACAAATACAAAAAAATACATTCACAATCATTGAAATCAAGACCTTTTAAATGACTCCAAGCAGACAGTTACAGTATTAATGTACTATTAACGTATAAGTAGGGCTGGGCAATACAAACAAACAATAATGATAATTATCGCAATATAATTTTCCTCAATAACAGTATAACAAATGTTCAATATATCGTCAATAAATGTTGGATTTAATTAATTTGAATCACAAACAAATTAGCACTTATTCAATTAGGTTATTTATTTTGTTGAGGAAAAGGGACTGAAAAAAAGATTTCCTAATTATAATTGTTGAAAAAGATTTTATCAGAATCATTTTCATTATTGTACCTTAGATTTGTAAAGTGACCCACTTGTTTGGCATCAAGTGTTTGTCATAAAGCAACCAATATTAACCATTTGGTTTCTTCAACTTAGGAACTCACTCAGGAACAAAAATCAGCCTTTAAACTTGAAAGAAATAATAATTTGTATTTATAAAATATAGGAAATGTTTTTAATGTGCTTGGTGGTGGTAATGGTACAGTGGATAAGACTATGACTTTGGTGTGAGAGACCCGGGTTCAATCCCCCACTGTGACCCATCCACCATTGTGTCCCTGAGCAAGACACTTAACCCCTCGTTGCTCCAGAGGCGTGCGACCTCTGACATGTACAGCAAGTAAGCAAGTGGATAAAAGCGTCAGCTAAAATGAAATAATGTAATCGTGATAACATTTTTGGCCATATCGCCCAGCCCTACTTAACATTAGCACTCTTCCACTGATAAACTTGGCATTAGCTAACTGTGTATGACACTACAGAAACTTTAGCATCACACATGAAATGAAAGTAGCACCCGCCACCCGCGGGGAACTTGGTGGTGGTGGGTGAACTCGTCGGGCTATCTGCCGCTTTGACGGACAGGAAAAATGCAAAATAGAAAGACAAGTGTAGTAAGGTAAGCGTATTGTGGCGATTGGCGCCTGCATCACACACACAGCCACCAGTCAGCTCAGTAACTATCTATGTAACGGCGTTTCAACCAAACTCACAAGTCCGAAAGACGCGCAGTCTGTCATGAGTTACAGCCTGGTTACAGTGTGCTGCTCACCAAATAAACATATTTCTGAAAATTTTTTAATCAACATTTTTTTTATTTTTGACTACACTAACACACATCATTACACCATTAGTTACACCAAAAATATAAATATACAATCTCAAATACATTTATCAATAACCTTTAAGCTTAACTTGTACAGATTCTAGAAATATGAAACATTTGAAGTTAGCTAGTGGCGGCACAGTGGTCCAGTGGATAGCACTGTGGTCTCACAGCAAGAAGGTCACAGGTTCAAATCCCGGTTGCCCCGGCCTTTATGTGTGGAGTTTGCAAGTTCTCCCCATGTCTGCGTTGGTTTGCTCCAGGTGCTCCAGTTTCCCCTAGTCAGTGCTATTGACTAGACACTGGTAAAGATCTGGAGTTGGTTTCGCAACATGTATGTGACCATAAAGTATCTTCTTCTTACTCCAAATTACATAACATTTGGCAAAAATACCAATGTTGGCCCAAGGAGAATATTTCTATTGCAGATTAAACTATCAAAACACTTAAGGTAGTGGTATCAGTAATTTCCTGTTAACACTTAAACCACTATTTTCCTAAAACTTGAGCATGTATTTCATTGTTCTCTACAGGTGTCCAGCAGCTGGTGGTGAGTAAAGAAGAGGTTCCCCCTGAGCAGCAGCAGTGGAGCCCCAGGCTGGACCAGGAGGACCCACCAGAGACGCCACACATTAAAGAGGAACAGGAGGAACTCAGGACCAGTCAGGAGGGAGAGCAGCTTCCAGGACTGGAGGAGGCTGATATCATCGCGTTCACATTCACTCCTGTCCCTGTGAAGAGTGAAGAAGATGATGAAGAGAAACCTCAGTCCTCACAGCTTCATCAAACTGAAGAGAACAGAGATGCAGAGCATTTGAAAACGGAAACTGATGGAGAGGACTGTGGAGGACCAGAACCAGCCAGGAACTTTAATCCAGATAGTCCTTTACAACCAGATACTCATGGCCAGACTTCACTCTGCTCTGAACCTGAGACTGATAACAGTTGTGATTGGGGGGAGACCAGGGAACCTCAGCCAGGTTTAAACCCTCTGCAAAATAATGAAGCACCTGTAAGTGATCAGGAATGTAACACTGGAGAAACATCAGTTAGCTCCTCTGAATGTGCTGCAAGATTTGGCCACAAGGAGCATCTGCAGAACCACAATGGAACCCAAACAGGAGTGAAACCATTTAGTTGCTCAGTTTGTGGTAAGAAATACCTCTGGAAGAACTCCTTAAAGAATCATATGAGACTTCATTTAGAGGGAAAACATTTCAGCTGCTCAGTCTGCAAAACAAGTTTTAGCGCCAGAAGCAATTTGTTCACACACATGCGAATCCATACTGGGGAGAAACCATTTAGTTGTTCAGTTTGTGCTAAACAATTTTCACGAAAGGAACATCTGAGACGACACTCGACTGTCCACAAAGGAGAGAAACCATTTAGTTGTTCAATTTGTGCTAAAAGATTTGCGCAAAAGGAAAATCTAACACGACACTTGACCGTTCACACAGGGGAGAAACCATTTAGTTGTTCCGTTTGTGGGAAAAAATTCACACAACATGGAACTCTGAGACGACACATGACTGTCCACACAGGAGAGAAACCATTCAGTTGTTCAGTTTGTGGTAAAAAATTCTCACTACATGGAATTCTGAGACGACACTTAACCATCCACACAGGGGAGAAACCGTTTAGTTGTTCAGTTTGTGGTAAAAGATTCGCACGAAAGCCAAATCTGAGACAACACTCTGCCATCCACGGAGGGGAGAAAACATTTAGTTGTAGTTGAATGAATATGAAATATTTTATTCTTGTGTCATGACTCATCTCGTAAATATTCTGATACATTAACTTACAATATAAACAATCCAGCATGTTGACCCACCACTATCTAACAGTACAATACCTCCACATCATCCAAACATAGACCTAAACATAAACCTCCCACAAATAACACTCCAGGGTCCCTGTTTCATAAGGCAGGTTTAACAAACCCTGAGCTCCGAGTAGATTAAACTTGAGATGTGAAACTCTGAAATATGAATGCATGCCAACGTGGAACATGATATTTATCTTAAAAACAGGAGTGAAGGAATGAATCATTGTTAACAATATTACATTTTATTCAGCGTAGCTCATTCAGCATAGACTCGAATTTCCTTAATGAACAGTAAAGTCCTGTCTTTTCTGTATGTTAACATTAGATTTTTAAAAATATTTCTTAAGCTGTAACCTGATGGGGACAAAGTGCCAGTGGCAATAACTGATAATGAAAATATGGAACGGATAAGACACCGTTTACTCATTGACCTGTGATTGTAAAGTCATTGTCCCGACCTAGTATTAATGATTTTGTTGATTTGCATATGAAACTGCACATTTTTAGACATCTTTTTAATTAATTTAATGAAATACTCTTAAAACTCATTTCTGCAAATAATATTCAAAATCTCATTTTCAAACTATATTTAGTGTCAGCTGCACCACAATCATCATGATCATCATCTCCAACATAATAACTATGCTAGGAATGTTCCTTCAGTGCGACTGATCACAACATGACTGATGATTGTTCGTTGATGAGCTTCATACAGATTAGTTTGTTTTACACAGTGATTACTGCAGTGATGTAGCCCACACTAAATGTTTCAATGCAACCTGACAGCTGCCTTAATGTCCACAGAGTGTTAAAAAGGACAGTGTTGCCTATAGTAGATGAATCCAGAGATCTGTCTCTGTCCTTACATCTGTGACAGATTGAGTGAGTAATGAACTAATATCTGAGTGGGATTTCAATGTTTCGAAAAACTTCGGCAAATGAATCGTTCCGGATGTGCTTTGATATTAACTGTATGAATGAAAGCCCAAGAAGACGTCCGTAAATGTTTTGTCCATAACTGAGAGGAGAAAAGAAACCAGAAAATATTGACTTTTAAAGGAGACCTATTATGCTTTTCCACATTTTATGAATTTCTACAATGTTACAATGTCAGATGTTCATCTTAAACATGGACTAAGCTTCAAATAATGACCGCACAGCAACTTCACAGCAACGCTCAGTCTACCTGTTCTGCCCAGCGACAACAGCAGCCTGGTAACATTCTTCAGGTCTTGGCCAATCAGAAGACAGTGAGTTTGAGAGGGAGGGGGCCTTAAAGAGACAGGTGCATCTACAGCAGAGATCACTAATAGGCGGACCGCGGTCCGGATCCGGACCACCGACCAACAGCAGATTTATTATTGAGACTTACTACCTCGTGACGGAGCGTTTCTATTTTAACCGGCACAGCTTTTCTAGCATTTACTGTACTGGTTTAGTGGCCCAGGAAACTCACACACCAATCGCGTGTGCTCCAATCGTCTCATGTGACGCTGCTCAGCCAATCAAATCTGTGCATTCCGATGTTTGCGAGTCGAGTCCGCCAGATTCACCGGAGATGTTTTGGAAACGCACACGAATTGAGGAGACGAAAGGCTGGGCTTAAAGGCTTAAAATGGCTTTTAATCAAGAATGTACAGAGTTTTACATGTACGTTCCTCCCACTGGCAGTTCAAAACCAGAATATCTCATAGATCTCCAGTCCAGCTGGCAGGACAAACTAGAGCTCACGTTTCTCACTGAACAAGAGAAAGTTGGAAAGTGGTAGCTCTGTAAGAGGGAATGAAAGAGAAGGAGGCCTTACAGCTGTTCAGTTAAGATGTGTTGAGTGTTTATATGTCATTATTTCTAAAAATTCGGCTCTTTATTTTAGTTAAATTTAGAATTATTTATTAGAGTAGTTATTATTTATCATCTCTCCAGTTTGATGTGAAAACTGACCGTGAATATTCTTGAAATATTATTTGATTTGACAGTCCGTTGTTGACTAAATACGTTATGGTATTGAATGATAATGCAAGTTGTTTTGATGTTCCGGACCTTTGCTTCGAGAAATTTTCTCTAACTGGACCTCTTAGAATTCTAAATGAATACCCCTGATCTACAGCTTGTTTCATACAGGCCTGCATGAAGAGCCAGAATAAGACAGAAAAATCTTTTTTTGAACTTTTGAATCATGCAAAGCTGCCATACAGGAGTCACAGAACTACAATATAGGGCTGGAAATGCAGTATAATAGGTCTCCTTTATTAAGCTGGAATCAGAGAATTAGCATTACTAAAACCAATTAAACCAATCAGTTATCAAAATGGTTTATTTAATAGTTGAAAACGAATTGATTAATCGTTGCATTTCTAAGTAGAAGTATGTGGTATACTTCTACTATCTTAAATGTGCACAGACAGACTTTTAGGCAAATTTATTTATTTATTACATTAGCCATGCTGGGGAAGTCCCTTAAACCTGCATTCTTGCTCAGGCCAGCTGGGGCGACTCCACTGGTTGCAAAAAGAAGTTGTGTAGTGTTGGGATCAGAAAGTATGAGAACAAAGAGCAAGAGGCCTACAAGGAACTAAAAGGCCTATAAGCGGCCTCCGGACACGAAGAACAATCCTCAGACAAAGGAAACAGGCACCAAAACCAACAACTGTCTCCATTGGCTAAACCTTGCAGATGTACAGGACATCTCACGTCACTGAGAGCATAAATAGGGTGCACCATTCTGCTCGCTGCCATCTGTTGCTAGCTCCAGGAGGAGGTCACACACTTTATCAATCTCTTATATTCTAAAATCAAAACTAACTTGCCGGTTGAGGACAGTTTTCTTTGTTCTTTGATTTTTGTCTGACAGCCCTACTTGTCGATGTTCACAATACAACAAAACTTCCCGTCTGCAGAAGAAGACAGAAGAACTGTCGTGCTCTAACTACTAAAGGGATAACTGCTGTGTCCTAAACATCCTGACGCACAACAGTAGCTACCCACAGCGAATCTGTAAGAGGCTTGTTAAAGTGTCTGGGCAGAGACGTAGTCATAATTTTATATTATTAAAGCCTGCTTGTGTTGAATTTGTGGAATATACAGACCGGCGCGTCCCCTTCCATTGCTGTGTGTCTTTTGACGTGCTTAAGCTCGTTCAAAGTCCTTTTAGGCAGTCGGCCGGCTATTTCGGACTAACCAAGACCGGGCTCCTATTGAAATGAATGGGGAGAGAGCCAGAACTGCACTTTCACTGGTCACCGGGACAAAAAAACTACATGAGTAGAATCAGCATTAAAATCTGATTTAAAAAATTGCTGACAGAGTTTGACAACTTTGCCTCAAATTAAGGTTTAAAAAGCGTTTTTCCCGACCGGTTATACTATGCATGCGTCACCACTTCCGTGCATGCGAAGTAAAGGTAAAACAGACCCTTACGTCAGTCAAACCACGCGATTGGCTGAAATATGATTCCCGCTTTGGCTGTTAAAAGCAGACGATTGGCTTTCTAGCGGGAGGGGCGGGATAACCACCATCTTTGCCGTTACGGACTTTCCCCATAGACTTGTATTGAGGATGTGATTGAGTGGCGTGTCTCCTCTAAATTGTCTCTGGCTCGTTTCACAATCTGAACCGGTGCCAGGACGCTGCCCCTGTTGTCTGTAGAGTCCTGTTATTGGGAGTTTGACTAGCAAAGACCCCATATCAAAGTCTACAGGCCAAGACCCAACGGTGAACAAAAGCCTACCATTGGTTCTGGTGTAATGGGGAGCACTTACCGTGTTAGCACATGGGCTGGAACTCTTGCATGCCTGCAGACAAAAGCAGAATCCTGTCCAAACCAAGCAAGCACCCGCTGATCGAGTGCAAACTCCCTGCGTGTGGCGGCGTAGTCGACCGGGGATATTTGGGCTCTTACTGCTTTATGTACTCTTTCCTCTATACGAACACCTGCATATACTGTGGATACACTCGCTACAAGACAACTGTAACTGGCCTGACCTGTGGCCCACAGGTAGCCTAGTTCCAGCTGTGCTCAATGCCATTTTGGTGAGAGCAGGAAGAGGGCCTTCCCAAACTCCTGGATTGGTCTTTGCGGTTTGAGCCTCAATTTTGAACCAGTGGTCAACGAGCCACCCACGTGTACCCTTCTCAACCGTCTCTTAACCCCCCCCCCCTCTTGTTACACACCCACACTATACATGTTGGCTGATTCTAGTGTTTGTTGTTTAGCCTAGAATAGATTTGATGTAATTGAAGTTGTGATTGTTAATCTGTGCTGAAGTTCAATAAATCCTGTTATAACTATAAGAAGTCGTTGCCTGTGGTTAAAATACTGTCATTGATACAAGTGGGAATATGTAATGTATTTGAGGTTTTCCTATAATACTCCAAACCCATGCTTGCTGAGTCTGCTAGAACTTATGCATCTTTTCTTTTTCAAGTTTTGAGCAATGCACAGACCCTTAGCCCTTTATATTACATAACAGCATATGTCAGAAAGAAAGTGGATGGGGGATTTAAACGTAACACACTGGCCCTTGTACACTTTCAGCCTAAACTTTAATGGATTTGGGGCCAGTTGTAGGCTCAGTACAATACTGCTCTTTACAAATCATCAGAAATACCACTAGACTCATGCAATGAGCGATGGCTTCGTCTGTGGATAACTGCAATATGTTAGCACTGTGTAAGTGGCTGCATCTGTTATTTCTGCCATCATCGACCCTTCGCTAAGCCATGCGCCGAATACACAGCTGGCTTTTTAATGATTGTAATAGTGAATACAGACTTACCCAGCTGTACAGGAGCTGTGTTGATCCTTAATATGGTTGTCCTCTTTCTCAATAGTCATTAATAATACAGTTGTTCACTTTTACTCTGTGATCGGTGGGCTTTAGCTTCTGTCTTTATTTTTTCACGTGAGTTTGAGCCTGAACACAACCTTCAAACGCACAATGCAACTGCAAAACTGTCTGACTTCTTTCTGAGATCAACAATATTTCTCCAGTGAGTGCAGTAACAGACTCTGGCAGCGCCATGATAAAAGTCCTACAGGTCGAACAGTTTGTCGGACTTAGCAAAGAGTTATTGTTACGGGTTTATGATATCTTGCAAAACGGCAGTTTTTCCATGTGTTTCCATGTAATGTTGGGTATAAAGAAATCACACAAGCTGAACAGTGCAACAGTAAATATTTCATTATAATATTATAAAGACAACAAGTTGGCATTGCAATAAGTATTGATAAAAAACTTAACTCTGCCCCTTATAAAAAAAAAGGGAGATAATTGGAAGTGAATATTCGCCAGTGTTAATTGAACCTACCAAGGTGGGGTAATCTGAACTGGCAGAGGCTGCACATCTGTACAGAAGTGAAGGTCTGAACGCACCTGAGAGGGAATCCATGTTGGAGAAGTTCAAGTTGGTATTTTAAAACACTGAGTTTTGTGAGGATGTTACTGATGAATGCTGTGAATGCTGAACTAATGACTTTGAAAACAAGCTGTGTTTGCTGAATAAAGGGCAACAGAACATTTAATCAGTTTGTGTTTTTTGATTTTTAGTGGAGCACTTGATAATTTACTTTAATTAAACCACAAAGAACACAGAGCTAAGTTAGAGTATCTTAAGATGAGCTTTTAATTGACTTTGACTTTGTTTGCATAGTTAAAATATTTGTTGGCTTATATCTCCTCTGAAGTTCTTCAGATTTACAGTAGACATAGACAAGATCAGCTTCTTATGTCGTGTAAAATACCCACAGTTGTCAGTTTTTCAGATTCAGTTCAGCTGATTGCCGTAAAAAGCCGTAGTATATTATTCTTCAAAGAGTGTGTGTGTTTTCAGAAAGACCAGAAGGAAGATATAAAGTTGATGATAAGAGCCACGCTAGCCCAGCTTGGATTTAACGCTGCTCCTAAAGGTCCGGTCTGGATGAAACAGGACTCAGGCCGACCCAACGACTGGCAGGAAGACACTGTGGTGCCCACATCTTTACACCGGATCAAGCACTCGAGCGGCAGACTCTGTTGTTACCTGTCAGAGCGCAAGACTCTGGCAAGATGAGAGGAGGCGGACTCTGATGATGCTTGGTGTTCAAACGCAGTCAAGATGGACTACTTTATGTGAAAATTAAAACCACATTATTTGTACTGTCTCACTGCTGTTCACGTTCTTCCAGATGCAAATTCAAACAATGCAGTGCAGAATTATTTCCTCGCTGTATATGTACACTTTATTTAACTGTACATAGGTCTGTTGTTTAATTTTATTCATTTAATATGTAACCATACTCCTTATATACTTTTAATTAAGATCTATGTGTAGCCTGAGGGGACAACAAACACTCATTTCGTTGGACAACCTTGTATAATGATAAAAAAAAAGCCTTGATACCTGAAATTGAGTCAACAAGCTTTATGTTTATGTGTGCTTCCATGGGTGCTGACATTGTTTTGTGACGTAATTCAGCTTCTGCTCGTGAAGTCGGGGTACATATTTTTTTCTCCCGAGTTCACAAGTAGGAAGTTCGACTTCACAAGCAGAAGCTGAATTACGTCACAAAACAATGTCAGCACCCATGGAAGCACACATTGTAAATGGAAAACCAGAAAAGGCAACAAAAAGTATATTTGCATGTATTTAAATTAAAATAATACATATGGTCATATAGTAAAACCTGTTCTGCATGTACACTGATGTAGAAATATGTTAGGCATATTAGGTAGCTGGCTACAGAAAAGACTCATAAAATCATCTGCATAAAAGTTATTGTTAAAAATGCCAGAACATTAGGAAGTATAACCTACAACTAACCTACAACTGATGTAGCTAGACAGGTACACAGTTAACTAGTAACATATGGGCTATTTATGTCAGTTGTTGCAGTTAAACTGCCATCATTTTAATTAACACCTAAAACACTGCAACACTTTCGGCGTCATGCACCCCCCACCTGGAACGCTTTGATGTCGGAAGTTTCAACTGGGAAATATCTCAGTTCCGACCGGTCTCGAATGCGGCATAAGATTTTTTCTAGTTGGAGGTCGAATATTTCCCAGTTCCGAGGTGCCTGGAACGCAGCAATAGAGCAACAGCAGAAACACCGTAATTCTTGTAGCTGCATAACTGGGCCGACAAAAAGTTTCATGGCTCAGTGTGTTTGTCTGACTCGGATCGTCTCTGTTTAATCAACACACCTACGATACTCACCTGCCAAACACCAACGCAGCGTCACTGATGTTTTATGATTGTTTTAGATTCACAGAGAGTTTATAATAGAGACAATACGGTCACAGGGTTCTGACGTGATTGTTGGGCCTTCATGGAAACAGGTTTTGCTCGGCTTCACTGTTTCAACTGTGGCTCCCCGGTCTGTTCCCGGAGTGAACTAGAGCCTGTATGTTTGGATAAACCTTCTTTTATACAGTCAGTGGGATAAACGTGTTAAAGTGGAAACTTTGGTTTCGCCTCAGACTCATCTCCTGTTAGCCACGAATGCTAACTGAAGTTAGCTTAGCTTGCTAGCTGGAAATAGACGGAACTCGGCCACACAGCGCTGGTTGGAGGAACTCTGAGTCCAAACTGTGTTTTTCATTTGTTTAAAATGTCTAAAGTCCAGATGCTGAGAGGTTTTATCAACCAGCGACTAACTGCGGCTGCTGAAGAGATATTTGGGCTGTTTGAAAGAACGATATCAGAGTACGAGGAGGAACTCTGTCGTTCCAAAGAGGAGAACCAGAGACACAGGAAACTACTGGACGCTGTTTTCCAGCCTGAAGTCCGGTTACACAGAGCAGGTTTGTCCTCTTTACTGCTTATTCTCACTGCAGACTGCTGCAAACCTGCTGCCACTATAAGCTAAAAGAGGTCATTTTAAAAATTTGTCTTAGTTTGTCAAATGTTCTTGTTAGTTTTAGTGATATTTAGTCCACTGTATTCTATTTTGTTGCTGTATAAATAAAACTGAATTGAATTCAGTCAAGTTTTAGTTGGAAACATTCACAGATTAGAACTTCCGGGATCAATAACTTATAAGGAAAACGTGTTTAAAACAAACGACGCCTCTTTGCTATTGTACTTAAGTACAGAACGAGTTAAGTAGTAAATTTTCCCCTAAAAGATTCGTCCTACCACAAATAACATCAGTCGCAGGGACCGTCTACAAAGTGCAAAGCCGAAAAGAAATATTGTAGAAATATTCAATAACTTCCCTGTGATTCAGTGTAATGTCTGCAAAATCACCCCACATATTAATAATCTTCTGCTGGTTAAACTACAACTTTTAGTTAGGGGGGGAAAAAGGCAGCTGCAGTTTCTCCAGGATCACCTCATGCTGGTTATACTAAAACATAGGGCTGGGCGGTATATCAGTAATGAGGTATATCAATGTGATTTCAAAACAGAGATAAAATTAGAAAATACCGTTTATACCAACATAGTTTCATGTTGAGTTAATTATGGTTTCTGTAAGTCCTGCCAGCAGTGAAATTCTGAAAAGGCGAGTAGAGGCTACTGGCTTCAACTGGAGAATGTCGGCTGTCATTCTACGACTGCTCCTCTCTTTTCCACTGTTGTTTGCAAACCAATAAATCACAATTAACAGTCAGAGAGCCACACACGTCCCGCCAATGTCAGCCTGAGATCCTGTGTTGTTTTAAGAACTTTATGGCTTTATCCAGTTTGTTATTAAATGTGTAACAACCTTTATCGCGTGTCTCTTCTTTATACTCATACATAAAAAAAGCTGTTTTTAATGCTCAAGCATAGCCTATAGTTCTTCATTATATTCTAGTCGAACCTGATGTTCATTTATAAATTTTGCTCATGAATAGTGGTTACAAATAATGATGCCTGTGTATCGCTTTTTTTATGCAGTATAGACCTAAAACCTACGTCAGCTGGTTTATTTGCCTAAATTCGCAGTTCTTTAGACCACGGTGGAAACGCACATAACAAGGAGCTGAAGGAACGTTTTAGTTCCTTGAAAAGGATCTTTTGGTCTTAACGCAGCTATGTAGGGAGACACAGTGCCGATAGACACTACTGAAGAGTCTTAGTCCTAGAGTTAAAAGAAAAACAACAGTTCAGTCAGTGTTTCCCACAAATACTTTATTTTGCATGCTGGCGAGGTATATTAACAGCCGTCCAGGCATATTTGGAGACAAATTGTAGCATTCATCAGAGAAACACAAGAGTTATTACGTTACAAATCGCGACACGGTGGCTATTTTACAAGTGTTGACCAGGTAAAGTCACGTTGAACACACCAATCAGATTTGTTAGCTACCACGTTCGTTTTGTTTTGATAGGATATCAAATCAGATTTGATCGTCAACATGCATCCTGAACATTCATTTTGGGGAATTTAAATCTTGAATAACTTCACTGTTTTAAGCTGTAGTACCGTCAAATCAAAGTTCAACCACTAGGGGTCGCCTGCTGGTTATACTACAATACTTTTTGAGAGAAATAAGCTTTTGCATAGTTTGGGGGAATTTTAATCTTCAGTAACTTCACTGTTAAAAGCTGTAGTGTCTCCAATATCATCCCACGTACCAATGGTCGCCTTCTGGTTATACTATAATACTTATTTAACACTTAAATAGAGCGGCTGCACCAACGTGCATGCAGCCTGTTGCAGTTGCTCCCGTTCGTCGTCTTATTTTCTAACTTTTTAATGGTCTTTTTTTATGTCTCGTGTGTGATTTTTGGTCTATACGTAATTTAAACTACATTGTCTAATAATGCTAGTTGAGAGAGTTTTGGTAAGCCATGGCACCTTTGTGCAGCAACCACATTACACTCAGGACCAGCTGATCGCACTGAAGCCGGCCGGCATGGCGCCCATGCTCAGACACCCCCACTGAGTTCTGGAGGAGGACAAACAGAGGAGGAATGAAATGTTGTGGGAAGAGAGATGGGTCCAGACAACAGAGACTTAGGAGAAGGAGATTTAAGCTTTATCTCCCCTCTGTCATCATGGTCAACGTGAGGTCACTGGCTAATAAGATGGACGAGCTAACAGCGTTAGCCCGGAGTCAGAAGAAGTTCTGGGAGTGTAGTTTAATGTGCTTCACGGAGACACCAGGTTATTCCTGACCACAACGTCTCCATCGACGGCTTTCAGACTGTTCGGGCCGACAGAAATTGCACCGAGAGCGGTAAGCGTGACGGCGGGGTGATCTTGCCAGGCAGCCACTTGATGTTAACCCAGTCCTCTTTCCAAGCCGATTCTGGCGCATCTTGAAATACTGTCTGCAGGCTTAAAAGAAAAACTATTTAGATTTAAATTTGCACTTGTGGTTTTAATACCCTCTGTGTGTAACCTATAATGTATTTACTAATACCCAAATCTGTAGCCAGCCTTTCTGGAGTCCTCATTTGACCCCTGCAGAGGATCTACCACCAAAATGTGGTCTGAAAGGGCATGGAGATAATGTTTGAAAAAGTAACATATCATTAAACAATACCATCTTAAAATATGTCAGCGACAACAGCTTCAATAATAACTTCTGTTACATTTACTCATTTGGCAGACGCTTTTATCCAAAACAACTTACATTTGAGAAACAACATACAAGCATCAACAGAGCATCAAATACAGCACGAGATCTACAACTGACAATACATACTAGTAAGAGCAGCAATACTGGTAGAAGCTAATGGCACATTACACCTCCTCCCTCTTCCCCCCCGTGAAGAGGGAGGAGGATTATTGTCCTTGCCACAAACATTGTAGGAACGCCCCAAGAGGTAGGATTCGATTACCCGAGATGCCCGTTGCTGAGAGTGTGGGTAGCAGGATCCTGTGGTTGACTGTGTCAAAGGCAGCTGATAGGTCAAGCGGTAGAGTGGCCACTCTTAAAACCAGACTGATATGGATTTAGGAAGTAATTACATGAGAGGTATTCTGAGACCTGAAGTGAAACTGGTCGAATGGGGGCTTTTTGAGTAAGGGTGTAACCTGAGCCCTTTTGAAAGTGGTGGGGAAGGTTCCCGAAGCCAGAGAAGTATTTATCACGAGTGATTGCCGGGACCACAGTAGAAGATATGGCTTGGAGGAGATTCGTAGGAATCTGGTACAGTGGGCATGTAGTGGGACAGCTATGGGTCAGGAGTTTTGATACTTGGCTCTCCTTAAGAGTAAATGAGGAGAGTGAAGTGCCATTGACCTGGGAGGTACATTTTAACCTCGGTGTTGAGGCTTTTGCGCCATTTCCCGAGGGAGATGAAGGGAGACATGTATAAGGACTACTACATGATAGGTTTTCCTGTGCCGTGCTCACACAGTGGGAGCTGACCGGGGCGGGAATAGAATGGTTGATTTTGATGACTGTCTAGTTATAGTCGCCACTTTGCCTGTGAAGAAGGCACAAAGGTATCAGCAGACAAGTTTGTGTGTGGAAGAGGATTTAGTAGGGTTTTAAAAGTGGAAAATAATTTCCTTGAGTCAGTGTTACTGCTTATTCTGTCATTTATAGAATGCAGTTTTGGCAGCGCTGATACTTGTTGAGAAGGAGGACGGGAGCAGTTGGTAGCAGTTGAGACTTGACTTGGACTCAGGCCAGGGTCTTTGTTTTTTCGCCATTTTCTTACAGCGGCTCTGAGATCAGTACGGAGCCCTCGGATGTTATCAGTTAACCATGGGTGGGACTGGTTCAGGTGGGCAGGCTTGGTGGATAGTGGACACAGCCTATCCAGACACGAGCTCAGCGTAGAGCAAAGAGACTGTGCGGCATCATTGACCTCGGGTGAGGAAAATGTGTCAAGGGTAGGTAGAGCGGATTCTACCACTGAGGCAAAGTGAGTAGGATACAGGTTACGGAGGTTTCAGCGGTGTGAAACCAATGGTGCTGGAACAATGGGCTGTTCCTGTAGGCATAACGTGAACTGAATGGGGGGGGGGGGAGTGGTCAGACATGTGTAGGGGAGTGACAGTTAGGCACTCGGTGGATCAGTTTCGGACAGGAACAAGGTCAAGCATCTTGACAGCTTTGTGGGTCGGGGGACTGAGAACCCGAGTTAGATCAAAGGACTGAATCAGAGACAGGAAGTCTGAGCTTGAGTGACTGTTCATGTCACAGAGGACAAGTACTGGATGGTCATAATCTGGGATTGAAAACAGCAGTGTGTCTAGCTCGTCCACAAAGGTAGATGACAATCACAGAGACCTTTACTGGAGCGGACACCAAGACAGCATGATATTCGAAGGAGGCATATTGACTCAGGGGTAGCAGTTGTGCAAATTTCCACAGGCGGTCGGGGGTGTGGGTGAAAGAGTAATTGTTGGACAGCACAGCGGGGGTAGGGTTTTTTCTGGTTTGATCCAGGTCTCAGTGAGCGCCAGTAGCCCAAGAGTGTTAGCATAAGCAGTGATAAAGTCAGCTTTGTCGACTGCAGACTGGCCGTTCCATGACCCAAGTAAACAGATGTGGGCGGTGTCTGTTTTAAAGGCTAGAAGAGTGCCTTATTTCCTACAGGCACGATACCTCTTGCGTGCACTGGAGACGAGAGGAATAGTATGGTAGCACATGGTCTGAGGTGTGTGCTTAAGAAAAGGAAAGAAGCTACTCTTGTAGGTGGCCTTGCTCGGTGGATTCACACAGGAAGACTCGCTGGTCTTCACCCAAGTAGGTCTTCACACAAGGAGCTGACGCCTACGCTGGCGCTTCAGAATTAGTGAAGTAGTGTGAGTGTAATTGCATAATACAGTTATTGTGCATTCAGACTGATTACACCCAGCTGAGATCGCCCTCCGGATTACCAAGACAAAAGGTTTGTTTCAGTGGGTGGGACACGCACCCAGTTGTTTGAGCTCGCTCAGCCGGCCTTCAAATTCTAGTAGAATGCTCAGTAAAGTGCAAAGTGATAGCACATCAAGAGTAAGAAAATAGTATTAGTATTAGTAGTAAGTATTACCTCACTGCTGCAAACTCTTACTTGCCCAAAGGTGCTTTCCTGTGTTTGAGAGAGATACATTTCTTTTTTATCCTTTCTGTCAGAATTTGCCATCAGTATCTTCTCGCATCTAGTTGGTATTTATTAATATTAATGAAAAATATTAATTCCTATATTTCATTATTCTCCACAGCTGTCCAGCAGCTGTTGGTTAGTAAAGAAGAGGTTCCCCCTGAGCAGCAGCAGCAGTGGAGCCCCAGGCTGGACCAGGAGGACCCACCAGAGCTGCCACACATTAAAGAGGAACAGGAGGAACTCAGGACCAGTCAGGAGGGAGAGCAGCTTCCAGGACTGGAGGAGGCTGATATCATCGCGTTCACATTCACTCCTGTCCCTGTGAAGAGTGAAGAAGATGATGAAGAGAAACCTCAGTCCTCACAGCTTCATCAAAGCCAAACTGAAGAGAAGAGAGATGTAGACCATTTGAAAACAGAAGCTGATAGAGAGGACTGTGGAGGACCAGAACCAGCCAGGAACTTTAATCCAGATAGTCCTTTACAACCAGATACTCATGACAAGACTTCACTCTGCTCTGAACTTGAGACTGATAACAGTTGTGATTGGGAGGAGACCAGGGAACCTCAGCCAGGTTTAAACCCTCTGCAAAACAATGAATTCAGTTACAATGAAACTGTAAATCTGCTGAACCACAATGGAACCCAAACAGGAGTGAAACCATTTAGTTGCTCAGTTTGTGGTAAAAGATTAAAAACAAAGGCACATTTGAGACTACACTCTACAGTCCACACAGGGGAGAAACCATTTAGCTGCTCAGTTTGTGGTAAAAGATTCTCAGAAAATGGAAATCTGAGACGACACTCAAAAGTCCACACAGGGGAGAAACCATTTAGCTGCTCAGTTTGTGGTAGAAGATTCATAGAAAAGGCAAAGCTGAAAGAACACTCAAACATCCACACAGGGGAGAAACCATTTAGCTGCTCAGTTTGTGGTAAAAGATTCACACACAAGGCTAGTCTGAGACAACACTCAAAAGTCCACACAGGGGAGAAACCATTTAGTTGCTCAGTTTGTGGTAAAAGATTCACACAAAAGGAAAATCTGAGACTACACTCTACAATCCACACAGGGGAGAGACCATTTAGCTGCTCAGTTTGTGGTAAAAGATTCTCAAGAAAGGCAAATCTGAGACGACACTCTACAGTCCACACAGGGGAGAAACTTTTTAGCTGCTCAGTTTGTGGTAAAAGATTCACATTAAAGGCAAATCTGAGACGACATTCAAAGGCAAATCTGAGAGAACACTCAAAAGTCCACACTGGATAAACATTTTAGCTCCAATGTTTGTGGTTAAATATTCACGTGGCTCCACAATGTCAAAAGAGACGCAAGTGTGTTGGTGGGATCAACGCTGCTTCTTGAACATTGATCAGCTAAAAGTTGTGTTCAGCCACATGTTTTCCTGGCATAGTGTATAATAATACATGTTCATTGTTTTAAAACATGTTTCAAACATATTTTTTGTTATCTAAACTGCTCAAACTTTGGTTGGCCACAGTTCAACCGGTGAGGTGTTGTATTAACTCAGTTGCATTTAAAGGATGGGTTCAGATTGTTTAAACTGATATTCATGCAGTATTACATTCTAGATGTATGTTGTGAGTAGGGCTGCAACGATTAGTCGACGTAATCAACGTCGACCAAAAAAAAAATTGTCAACGTGAAACTTCATTGCTGACGCATCGTTACAAAGAGGCTGTTTAAGGGAGAGATAGCAGTCTTCATATTGAGAACATTTCTGGTTGGTTATTTCTAACTGCAATGCACTACATGGACTGCTAGGGGCAGTATCGCTTCCACTTTCTGCCATGACTGCTTGACTGTAAGACTACTCACGCATTCATATGAGAAGCGGAAAGCAACGGAGAAATAGAAAGTTTATTTGTTTTTACATATTTTGCACACTATTTAATCACTAAATATACTATTGGGTGGTTTGAGGCGAGAAATCAACTGTGTAGAACTTGAATATTGACAGTTTTGACGAAAGTTGATGGCAAATCGAAAATGTGCTCAAGTGTTTTCAGCTTTGAGAAGCTCCACAAGCGTCCGTGGGGTTAGCGTTGCCAGCATGCCGGCCAGTCACGCCCACAGAGCGCCCTGGTCCCAAGCAGCAACAACAGAGCTGCAGCGGGAGAGGAAAGGCAGTGTTTCCCATACGTTCATTTACTTGTGGCGGCCCGCTACGATAAACGGTGACCACCGCGTACTGATTTTTTTTTTAATTTATTTTTTTACTATGCCTATTTAAAATTGTATTTGATTGTAGATCAGTGCATTTGCGCCGCACATGCTCTCGCTCATCTCACTCTCATGAACACCACAGCACAAATTTATCCAACACAACGCTGTTCATGTCGGAGACTCCGCTTTAAAAACGTTATTAGTAATGAGTAATGGTTTAAAGTAAATCAAGGAACATCTGGCTTGTGATGTAGCCTGCAGAACATTCTCCACTAAGTTATTGCCTAAAACCCAAAAATATATACTACAGAAGTAGAATGTAGTATGAGAGGTTCGACTAATCGAATAAATAATTAACAGTTTAGACGACTATGAAAATAATCATTAGTTGCAGCCCTAGTTGTGAGAACATATGTTTTGTATGAAACATCTTAACTTGTAATGTAACTAGTATCTAAAGCTGTCAAATAAATGCAGTATTTTCATTTTTTATTTTCACAGAAAGCAAATTGTTTTGTTTGGCGCGAATAGAAACAAAGTCAAGAAATGACACTTTGCTACAATGTAAAATAGTGAGTTTACAGCTTGTATAACAGTGTAAATTTGCTGTCCCCTCAAAATAACACATCACACAACCATTAATGTCTAAACCGCTGGCAACAAAAGTGAGGACACCCCTAAGAGAAAATGTCCACATGGGGCCCAATTAGCAATTTTCCCTCCCTGGTGTCATGTGACTTGTTAGTGTTCCAAGGTCTCAGGTGTGAACGGGGAGCAGTTGTGTTAAATTTGGTGTTATTGCTCTCACACTCCCTCATACTGGTCACTGGATGTTCAACATGGCACCTCATGGCAAAGAACTCTCTGAGGATCTGGAAAAAAAGAACGGTTGCTCTACATAAAGATGGTCGAGGCTGTAAGAAGACTGCCAAGACCCTGAAACTGAGCTGCATCACGGTGGCCAAGACCATACAGCGGTTCAACAGGACAGGTTCCACTCAGAACAGGCTTCGCCATGGTCGACCACAGAAGTTGAGTGCACGTGCTCAGCGTCCTATCCAGAGGTTGTCTTTGGGAAATAGACGTATGAGTGCTGCAAGCATTGCTGCAGAGGTCGAAGGGGTGGGGGGGGCAGCCTGTCAGGGGTCAGTCAACTATGGGCGTGCCCTTCAAAACGCCCATAGTTGCCTATAAATGGTCAGTGAAACGCCCCTTAGTGATATTAATACGTACTGACTGCAGGAAGAAAAGGAGGCAATTTCTGACAGAAAAGCTACAAAACGAGATTTAACTCGGTGTGACGCTGACGTTGTACGTAACTTTTACGCAATGCTTGTGCACCGGAGGAAAGGGGGCACCAGAGCTCCCCCCGTTCATAACCAATCTGCAGGCAGGGGCATCCCCCTTGAGTAGTGACATCACTGGCTGGAGGGGGACTCAGATGGGATGACCCAGGTACTAATCTGGATTCCCCCGTTTAAAAAGAGAGTAAACCAAATGCATTCTGCTTGTGTTTAAACATTTATTTAGGCTACACAAACAGTCAACTCACCTGACAACGCTGGCGATGAATTATAAGAAACATGACTGACTTGTAAATGACAATAAAAGTTATTTTCACATGATGTGTTTTTACAAGCAGCACATCACATCCACACGCTGGCGCACAGCGTTTGGCTCGAAAAGGCAACGAACATGATAACAATAGGCAATGTAAAACTATGGTCTCGTATTTGCTTGACTGATGCATTGAAAACAGTATAAATTTAAATGTAATTTGTCCTCCTGTTCACCTTATTTATGAGAATAAATTTCAATGCTTGCAAGTATTAATATGATTCCTGATTAAACTGTAGATCATATTTGAGGTGTTCTTTTGCAGAAACTGATATCTCTGTGTTTATTATCCTCAATCATGGTTCTTTTTGTGCGCCACAAATAATCTTAAATTATGTTTTTTTGTGCGCCACAAATGATCTTAAATTATGTTTTTTTGTGCGCCACAAATGATCTTAAATTATGTTTTTTTGCGTACTTCAAGGAAAATCAATCAAACGAGTGTCTGATTCTTTAGAAAGGCTTTAAGCCTATACTACTCAGAGGTAATATTTTGATTTATTTTACAACAATAGTAGGCCTATTAATTTCAAACAGTTTCCACCTTCTGCCATGTGAGTCGCTGTTTCTCATTTCTTCTCTTTATGTGTGTACATGTGGTTCAGAGTTTACTTATAGGAAGCACATTTTCCCGTCAAGTTTGTTTTTTATAGATCACAAATTTTGTTTGGGAAGTGGCATATGGACGTTTCCAGCCCTGTTTTGTACGCACGCACCGTTTATAAATGAGACCCCAGATCTCTGCAAACAACTGGAGGGGGTTCAGACAGATCACTAATTACAAACCCAAAGTCCCCCACTCCATCAACGACTCTTGCCTGGCAAATGAGCTGAACCAGTTCTATTGATGTTTTGAAAGACAATTGGGTTCCATCCCCCGTGACCGCTCCGCTCAGCTCCAGCCCCTGTCTACCATCTCCTCCTCCCCCTCCTCAGAGTTGGACAGCTCAAAGCCTAAACCATCATCCCTGTCCCAAAAAAAACAAGGACCACAGGCCTGAATGACCCGTCGCCCTGACCTCTGTGGTTATGAAGTCCTTTGAACGCCTTGTGTTGTCCCACTTTAAATCAATCACAGACCCACTCCTGGAGTTCCCCCTGCAGTTCGCCTGCAGAGCCAACAGGTCTGTAGATGATGCAGTAAACATTGCCCTTCATTTTATCCTCCAGCACCTGGACTCCCCAGGAACCGACGGCATGGATTTCAGCTCTGCTTTCAACACCATCCTCCCGGCCCTGCTGCAGGACAAGCTCTCTCAGCTGAACGTGCCTGACTCCACCTGCAGGTGGATCGCAGACTTCCTGACAGACCGGAAGCAGCACATGAAGATGGGAAAACATGTCTCTGACTCCAGGACCCTCAGCCCCTGATCCCCTCAATACTGCGTTATTTGCCCTCTGCTCTTCTCCCTGTATACCAACATCTGCACCTCTAACCACCAGACCGTCAAGCGTCCATATTGATTCCACATTCAGACTTAAGAGCACATGAACACACATTGAAGTTAGAAGAACAACTTCACAACTCGTAAAATGGGACCACCAGAGAGGCACCTGAATGCACCGTGAGCCTCTGGTTGCAATTCACAACCTTCGCTAAATTCCACTAAAACTGAACCTTTAATGTACTGTACAGTCCAATACACCAAACAACCAAAAAATTATTCTGCCCCAGCATCCTGTCTTTGGTCTGGGACAGACCAGAGAAACTTGTCCTCGTCCTCCTCTCCCTAGTCCTCCTCCACCTCCTACTCTTCCTCTTCCTTCTCCTCTTCCTCCTCTCCCTACTGCACTTCCTCCTCCTCCTCCTCTCTGGTGTCAGGTGTATTTATCTGTTGAAGGTTGTGATTGGTTTGTGATCAATTATGGATCTTTGTGTTTCCACCTGGGTAGCTGTGAGCTAACTGAGCTCAACCTGTGCTGACTTGAGTGAACAATATTGAATGTTAGTGCTTTCTAAATGACCACATGGTGTAGGCAATGAGAAATTAAGGGATTTGTGTCGAGTTTTGCAGAGACAGTTCAACAAACCTGAATAATGTGTCAAAACAGTTTAGGGAAATGGGTGTAGGAATCAAAGTAGTCTATTAATGTAATTTATTTAGAAGCTGCAGTCACACCTTTCACAGTATACTGCTGATTTCTTGTAACATTACAACAGTGTAAAAATAGTCTGTTACGGGTAAAAGCAATGCGTCAGTAAAAGTTTCAGTAAAATGTATTCAGAGTATTAAAAGTAACTCCAGCTGTCATATAAATGTAGTGTAAAATACTATACTGTTAACTAGCAGAAAAGAGAAATACTCAAGTTTACACAAATTTGAGGTACTTGTACCTTACTTTTATTTTCGTGCCACTTTCTACTTCTACTCTGCTACATCTCAGAGGGAAATATTATAAGTATAAGCACAAGGCAAAGTCCAATCCAAAGTAAATCCAAAGTAGACGGGGTAATCCAAAACAAAGAACTAGGAACAAAGCAAGGCAGAACACTCAACATCAGACAAGGACGTCACAAACACTGAACACGTCAGAGGGCAATATATACACAGGTAAACAAGCAGGGAGGGAAGCACAGCTGAAACACATCAGGTAATCAACAACAGGAACAAAGCTAGAAAAGGACACATGAACACTACAA